GCGCCACAGCCACAGTGCGGAAGGGGGCAGGGACTCGAACCCAGGGCCGCGCGGCCCCCAGGCTCCTGTCTCCCGCAGTGGCGGGGTGAGGGCTCACATGTGCTCTACACTCGCGTGTATGCACATTGATGAGCACATACACACACGCACGCACGCACTTGTGCACGCTCACACGCAGACACGATTGCCGAAGCACACGGCTCTGCAGGAAGGTGAGCCCTGACGTTGAAACCCAGGCCCTCGCGGAGACCCTGTGGGGCCAGAGCCCGCACTGGACCGACCCAACTGCTGCGGCCAAGAGGAAGGGGACCCGGGGCCGAGGTCCGAGCGAGGGCGGTACCCACTTTCCCTTTCCCTCCTGCATCCTGCTGAGCTCGCCCACTAACGCTCGTTTAGACCCTCTTAGCTTTCCTGGAGAAACATGTGTTGTCAGGGAGTAAGGACGGTCTCTCCCTTTCTTTTCCATCAATTTCTGCTTTTCTCTCAACTGCTTCTTCCCTTGAACTTTCTCTGAGTTCAGTTTGCTCTTGGTTTGCTAACTTCTCCAGACGAACTCTTGGGTTGTTGACGTTTTGCTCACCTCTCTTTCCTAATATGAGCATTAGAAGTTGTATGTTCCTCTCTAAAGATGCCCCTCGATCAAGAATTTTCAGCCAGTGTGCCACAAGCATTTTTAAAACAGGCGACACCTGACTCCTTAGGGGCGCTGACCTCCTTTCCCTTAGATTGTCGAATAGAAAAATGAAAACAGCCAACACAATAATAGCCGTCTGGGGTGAATGAATCGAAATGACACATAATTATTTTGGTCAGGTTGGCCAAAAATATATTTTCCGTGTGCCGTAGAATTTTAGTAATTAGTGTACATGTGTCACGAGATGAAAAGGGTTAAAAATCACGGCTCTCGGTGCGCCCCACAGATTCTGACACATTGTATTTTCATTCTCATGAGTTAGATGCTTCGGCAACACAGCACGTGAAGAAACATGGCTGAGAGCTGGAGACAAGGACCTGAGGCTCGGCCACGTTTCGAGGTTTGGGTTTGGGTCTTCGGAGATGGAAAATGAATGAGACAGCAGCCGAGCCGCAGGTCCCAGCGGAGCGGAGCAGGCCTGGGAGGGTCCCAGAGGCAGCGATCGACACGGGCCCCCCACCCCCGCACCCCCTCGCTGGGCCCCCTCGGTCCTCTGGGCTTTCCTATCGGACTCACCGCCCACTGCACTTCTCCACGTAGGTACGTAACAGGCATCTCGGACGTACCCAGTCCAAAACCAAAACCCTCCATTCCCTCCCCCGGCTCTCCTCCTCGCTTGATTAATTACCAAGGAAAACTTGGGCGGCACCAAGGAGCCCACAGAGATTTGGGGTATGAGCACTACTTGCCTGTACAGCGGCGCCCCTCGGTTCAGAAGGTGGCCCCTTCTCTGCCGCACAGGTGGGCTAGTGCTTCCTCAGACGTCTGCTTGAAGAGGTCCAGGGGCCATTTCCCATCGTGAAGCCTAAATGGCCTGCCTCGTTTTCCTGGGTCCCCGCCCCCCACTTCCTTCTGTCCACTCAGACTTACTTCTCTCCCCGACCTGCACAACCTGCTCCCCTAACCCCGGACCCAGGCTGGTCCTCCAACGTGTTCTGCTTGCCACGGGGCTGCCTGCTCCCCAGGGAGGTGTCCCAGTCCTACCAACTCTCCAGGCCTGGCCTTCCCTCTAGCATCTCCTCCCAGCTACTTGTACCAATGGCTTACTCTCCTTGACGATGCTTCATTTATATTGGTCTTTAGTCCCCAAGCAAGTCTGTCGATCCCCACGATGCTTAGCACATAATTGGTGCTCAGTCAATACTCCCCACTTGTTAACTGATAGGGGCAGAAAAAGCATCCAAAGCTGCTTTTTCTGGCTTCAGAAACCCACACCTCCTCCGCCGGGCGACCTCGCCCTTGCCCTCACTCTCACTGCTGTGAGGGGACCCCCCTTCCCATTTTTTTTGGCCTAAATGGCTCCTTTGCCACAGGGTGGCTGAAATAAGTCCCAGGGAACAAAGACTGGGCTCTGCTTTCTGTTCTGTTCTTGTAGACGATGGTTCTCCCACTTTGGTGGGATTAAGGTCCAACTGGGGAGCTTCTAGAAATACTTGTCGCTATTCCCACCAGAGATTCTGATGATGTCTGGGTGGCAAGGTGACCGAACATCCCGGTGCTTCTGGGCGGATGGCACTGTGGCCACCCCTCGGGGAGCCGAGCTCCTGCGAGATTCGGATGGGCTCGGAAATGGGACACCCTCGGTTCCCAGGACTTTTCACCGGGGGCGCCCTCTGTCTTCCTAGCTTCAGACGAAATTGGTGGACTGTTTCCCTTCAGGTTTCCCTCAGAAATCATCCAACACTTGAGCCGGTCTGAACAAGCCCCTCCAGGCCCACAGGCCGCCCCTGGGGCCAGGCCTCAGCGGCCCCTTTCAGCAGCTGATGGGCCCTGAGATCTCAGCCCAGCAGGGGCTTGGTTCTCTCAGTGCAGCTACGGGTTGAAAACGTGAAAATGTGGCTCGGACTCCGGCCCTCGGCAGGGCCGCTGTCCCTGAGAGGAAGAGTTCTGGGTTAGATCGCAGTTTCAAGTGGCGCGTGGTTATGAGGTAGCGCTCGAGAGAAAAGAACATTTAGACATTGGCCTTGATTTTAGACCCAGAAGCTTGCTGGGGGAAAGGCCCAGGTTTCCACAGTGTGTATATGCAGAGGAGGAGCCTGGAAGGACAGACCACCACTATGAGAGTGTCTCCCCTGGGCCACGGTGTCTGGGGGGGGGACAGGGGACAGCGACCTTCAACTTCAGCCAGTTCAGTGCTCTTGTGAGGGTGGCTAACACTGGACAACGATCAGGTGTTACTTCTGTAATAAAAAATGGGTTCGAGAGCAGCCACGCCCACAGTCTTTAAAAATTAAATATTCAGCACAAGCACCCCATGTTCTAAGCGGCAAGGCCAAGCGGCGAACTCTCTCTCCCCGATTACTGCTCTCACAGGTCGCTGGGATGTTTTGAAACGCAGGGCCCCACGTCTCGGGACTAAAGAAGGGTCTTTGAAGTGACAATGGGCTCGGAAGGACCCTCTGAAACAGTTCTCGTCGTCCAGGAAGGGACTCGCTCTCTGATTTATACGGCAGTGGCACTGAAGGCTTTCTGGTGACTCTGGGCTCTCACTCGAATTTCTGCACAATTTAAGCACTGTCCCCCGACATCTGGTTTTCCCCGCATCAGTCCGATGCCTTTTGAACTTGACCAGAACAGAACTTGCAGGTCCCTCGGACCCCTCGCTGCAGCCTGTGTCCACAGCCAGACTTCAGATGCAAAGGGCTTTGTGTTCACTTCCACTGGGCCGACGAGGGGCGTTGGGCCCCCCCCACACACACAAATCTCCACTCTGCCCTCCCACAGGGACTTGTCTCTGTCGGTGAGCCCCTTGCTCACTATTAATTAAACGGCTTTGTTTTCTCCTTCAATGGGCAGCCTCTTCAAGTGCATCCCACCCCCCTCACTTCCCCCTTCATGGGGCCCCAACATTTCAGTTGCCAACCGACAGACACCTCATTGTTTACAGACCTTGGATCGGGACTGTGATTCTGCTTCTTGGACGCTCCCTCCAGAGCTCCCTAATCCACTCTCTGATGGAAACAGGCGCTCCTGCTCAGTGGGGTTCTGCTGATGGCCCCATGCGGCCCACGATGTTCTCTTTCTCCAAGAGATTTTTTTTTACCCCATTTAACTTGTTTTCCTGCAAGGCTCAGCAGGTTAGACTCACCTGTGCAGCAGACGCCTGGACGGCAGCAGCTGCCTCCTCAAAGGGGACTTGACTCCTCACCCGAGGGCCCAGGGTTTGGATGGGGCGGCCATGACCTCCAGCTGTGCCTCCCACCGGCTGCGGGATGTCGACGGAGTGCACTTGGTGCGGGAACAGCCCCAGGCCCCCACTGCCTCCTGGAAGTCTGCTTCCTCCGAGAAGGACCCCGGGAGAAGTTCGTGACGCTGTCGCGGCTCCTTTCCAGACGGAAAACGACTCCGGGGCCTGGGGAGAGGCGGCCTCTGCGGGTGGGGGACGCTGGTGCACACGCCGAGCACATGGAGGGGAGGTCAGCTCTCGGGGTGGGGGGGCCCAGGGGAGTCTTCGTTATGGAAGTGGCTGGAATCGTCGCCTCCACGAATTCTGGAGGTGTCATTAGCCTGCAGACACTGTCCTTTAGAGAAGAATTCTCTCTTGGACAACAGATAGCATTCAGGGTATTGGGTGAAAAACTGAGAAAACACTTCTCGTCCTGAGACGATGAGGGGACTGGTTCTCCCTCCCCCACGGTCCACAGCCTCGGTCCCTGAGTGTGCTGGGCTTTCTGCAGATGTGCTGGTCGGGGAACCCACCGAGGCCTGTCCCGAGGGCCCTCCCAGGCGACCGGCTCCTCTGGCAGCCTGGGGACTGCCGGTGAGATCTGCGGTCCACCCACTGAGCCCTCTGGCTCCCCTGTTCCGAAGGTGGCATTGTGGACACCCTCGCCATTTGACACAGTGTAGACTCCTGCGCACAGTGAGAGAGCCTGCGATCCCCTGTGGTCCCTAACAACGTTTCCAGGCCATCTGTCCCCTGTCCCCTGCCTGTCTTCCTGGGTCAGTGGCTCTGTGTCCTGAGGCTCAGACTGGTGCCTGGCACCTTGAAAGGGAGTCCGTGGCTCTGAGGCAGCTTAACTGCCTTGCTTTTTGTCCCCGTGTCCTTGCTGCAGGTGACTGGTTCCGGGGGAGGACAGGGCTTCCGGCCACCCTTGCCACGCTCGACCAGCATCGTGGCGTCTTTGCTTCCTCTCCCTGTTCTGTGACCTCGATTCCATTTTCCCCATGTGGCCAGCTCTCCCCACTTCCTATGAACACTGCGACAGTCTAACGCCAGATCTTTCTGGAAAGGGTCAGTGCTGGGCAATGTCCGCTCTGGAAGTAAAGTAACCAAATCCTGATGCAATTCAAATCCACCTCCACCTCCCTCCTCGCTCCCCCAAAGGCTGACTCCTGTCATTGAACTTCACACCTTCCACCGGAGGCGCCATTCCTCGGTGGGAACCGCCGGAATGAGATTTCATCTGTCAGTCTCGTCGGAATTCCAACACCGGCCAAGTAAACACAGCCCAGCTCTGTCTGTCCTTTTCTATAAACAAACTTGTAAACGTCCTTCATCCTCAGGAGGGTCACGTTGCCAGCCCGACACAGACTTTCCGACTCACTTTGAAGCCCCGTCGCTGCCAACTTTCCAGTTTAAAATGAAGGAAACATCATAAAAGGCTTCATTTCCCCTGCCCTGTGGAGGTGGATGGAATAGAGGGCCAGTTGGAGGCTATGAACAAAACAAGTTCATAAAAATTCCAAATAAAGCGGCACCTCCGACATTAGCCAGACTTAGAGGCAAGTTTGCCAACCCTGCGTGGGTCGCTGTGACGACGATGTCCCGGGCACAGGCCAGGACGGCAGGGGACACCCGGGGACATGTGCTCTCGGGAGAGGACACCTCGGGGGACAGAGTAACAGAGCCTCCAAACCTGGTGACAGTCAGACAGCTGGATGCTGGCAGGGGAGGCGCTCAGGACATGCCGCCCCCAAGTGCACCGCAGGGACATGTCGTCTGAAAAACAGCCAGTGTGGCGGGAGGCTTTCTCCGAACCCCCTCACCTGCACGGACACAGGTCCTCTGAGAGCGACTCAGGGGCCACCCGTCCCTCCCAGGAGCTTCATGACCCGGGGCAGGTGGACTCTCGTCACTGGAGAGGAGGCCAGAAGCCGACCCACACCCAGACCGACGCTGCCACTGACTATCATTCCCTCTTCTCTCCTCTCCTAAGGGCCCGACCGTCTCCCTGGAAACCGCTTGCCCCCCCTGCCCGGCTAAGGTGGGCTGTCAGCTGTCGAGCCTCCCCTCCTCTGGGGGCGGCCGGTGTCCACTGGTGCCCTGCGCACACGATATCGTCCGTGGTGAAGGTGTGCGCGCCCTTTCTCCCGCTGATATGCCCGCTGTCTGTTTATTTCAGAGAGTGGCTCTCGAACCCGGAGGGAAGAGGGGAGTGCGCCTCCCCCACGTTAGCCCCGCGGGGTTCCCTGAGCTCCGCTTTCTGAAAACCACCGTCTAAGTTAATTACTCGTGGTCTGTGTAATTACGCCATGCGAGGCACGACAGCCTGTATTTGGTCAGCCTTCTAGAAACGTTCCACGTGTGCGGGAAGGAGGTCTAGTCTGCAACAGTCAAGGTGCAAACCACCACAGGTGTGCGGTGAGGGGCCAGAAAGGGGGAGCGGGGGGAGGCCCCACATGGCCGAGTGGGCGCTGCCCTGGGAGCGCAGGAGCCGGCGCCCCGCGGGCCTGCGCAGGGGGCACCCGCCAGCGCGACGTCACTTCTTACCTTTCTGGGAGGGGGTGTCATCAGGCGCTGCCAACTCCTTCCTCGAGTGCAGAACCTCCCTCCCGAGGGCCCCGACCGCAGGCACAGATGGCGGAAAGACGAACCTCTTGGCACGGGGTTCGTGGCGACGCGGCGTCCTGCAGAACACGCCTCAGGCCTGTGGCCCAGGGGGCGCCCTGTCCGTGCGCAGCGCCCTCCAGACGCAGGCAGAGCTGCGAGGAGCGGAGCCCCGCGTTGTCTGATTGAAGTACACAGGTGTGACCCACGGGTTCCTGAGCAGCAGAGACAGAGTGAAGGCAGGGTCTCACGTGGGAATATTTTAGCCCATGACCTATCATAAAAAATCCACAACACCAAAGCAACTAAATTTTACATTATCTGAAGAAAAAAAGTCCCCCTACTCTACCTTAAACAGAAAAAAATTAAGTTTTAAAATAAATGTCAATATATCAAATGGACTGAATAATTAATGGTGAAACTTTGAATAACATAAATCTAATATATATAATGCATTATATATACATATAACACATATATTAAATCTTGATTACTGGATACTATACACCGTTTTCAAGTATATTTAGGACATTAGTAAAAGTTGACCAACTATTGGACTATAAAGAGATCTCTATAGTCCTGGCTGGTGTAGCTCAGTGGACCAAACAGTTGCGGGTTCAATTCCCAGTCAGGGCACATGCCTGGGTTGCAGGCCAGGTCCCCCAGTTGGGGGCGCCCGAGAGGCAACCACACATTGATCTTTCTCTCCCTCTCATTCTCCTTCCCCTTCCCTCTCTCTAAAAATAAATAAATAAAATCTTTTTAAAAAAGAAATCTCTGTGAAATGCATGCAATTTATATAATATAGACCATATTCTCTGACAATAGGGTAAGTGATTGAGAAGGTTGTTTTTTTTTTTTTAAAGATTTTGTTTATTTATTTTTAGAGGGAAGGGAAGGGAGGGAGAAGATGTGGGAGAGAGACATCCATCAGTGGCCTCTAGTGTGCGCCCTGACCAGGGCTTCAAATGGGACATTTTACTTTGTGGGACAACACCCAATCAACTGAGCCACACCAGACAGGGCAGAAGTGATCTTTAAGATAGGCTTAAAAAAGGGAAAACTTTCACAATCCAGACAATATACAGGGAGAAAAAAAACCTAGAAATTACTAAATATGTAGAATAAACTATGAAAACGCTACATCTCAAAGCTTTCTGCAGTTCAGGCAACACTAGCAGGTAAGTCTATTGTCTTAATTGCATGTGTCAGAAGGAAAGAATCACTGAAAGTCTAATAGAGGGAAACACGTGACTTATAAGAGTTAATGAAGAAAAAAGAGGTACCAATAACAGTATTATGAATCGAGGACTTCCGCCAAAATGGAGACGTAGGTGGAAACATTGCGCCTTCTCACACAACAAGTTTAAAAACAACAAAGTTTTAGTAACAAAAATGCAGCCAAACCACAGAAGACTGAATTATAAGGAAGTCCGACAACAATGAACCTTTCAGCCAGACCAGTAAGGGGGTGAAGCCAGCAGCGGAGCGGGGTCAGGCAGGAAAGATCCACTGGACCAACCTGGGTGTGCGGGCGGCAGTTGGCGGATCCCAGGTGTGGAGAAGCAATGGGTGGACCCAGTGAGGGCGCAAGGCGGCAGGCTGACCGCGGTCACACAGTTGCATGCAGATAAACCAGCAAAGAAGCAAACAGTGAGACAGACCGCGCAGGCCACCGCAGCAGGAAGGAGAAGAGGGGGCCACCATTGCCCTTCTCTGACCCCACCCCCACATACAACATCACAAACCAGCAACCTGGGCGGCCCCGCCCTGGTGAATACGTAAGTAACAGGTGCAAACAGACCAAAATATTATGGCTCAAGAAGAACTCAAAGCCCCAGAGCTGATAAATCTAAGCAAACAAGAAATTGCCAACCTATCAGAGGCACAGTTCAAAACAATGGTGATCAGGATGCTCACAGAACTGGTTGATTTTAGTCACAACTTAGAGGAACATATGAAGGCTAAACTAATTGAAATGAAGGGAAATGCACAGGAAACCAATAGTGATGAAGAGGAAACTGGGACTCAAATCAAACGAGTGGACTAGAAGGAAGAAAAAATGACCGAACAGAAAAGAATGAAGAAACAAGAATTCAAAAAAATGAGGAGAGGCTTAGGAACCTCCAGGACATCTTTAAACGCTCCAACATCTGAATTATAGGGGTACCATAAGGGGAAAAGGAACAGCTACGAGTGGAAAACTTATTTGAACAAATAATAAAGGAGAACTTCTCCAATATGGCAAAGGAAATAGACTTCCAGAAAATCCAGGAAGCTCAGAGAGTCCCAAGGAAGTTGGACCCAAGAAGGAACACACCAAGGCACATCATCATTACATTAGCCAAGATGAAAATGAAGGAGAGAATCCTAGAAGCAGCAAGAGATAAGGGGACAGTCACCTACAAAGGAGTTCCCATCAGACTGTCAGTGGATTTCTCAAAAGAGACCTTACAGGCAAGAAGGGGCTGGAAAGAAGTATTCCAGGTCATGAAATCCAAAGACCTACATCCAAGATTGCTCTGTCCAGCAAAGCTTTCATTTAGAATGGAAGGGCAGATAAAGTGTTTCCCAGGTAAGGTCAAATTCAAGGAGTTCATCATCATTAAGCCCTTATTATATGAAATGTTAAAGGGACTTATCTAAGAAAAAGAAGATAGAAAACATGAACAGTGAAAGGACAGCAAACTCCCAGTTATTAATAACCACACCTAAAACAAAAGCAAACTAAGAGGACAGCTAGATCAGAAGCAGAACCATAGAAATGGAGATCACATGGAGGGTTAGCAACAGGGGAGTGGGAGAAGGACAAGGAGGGAGAAGGTACAGAGAATAAGTAGCATAGACGGTAGGTAGAAAATAGACAGGGTGGAGGGCAAGAATAGTATGGGAAATATAGAATCTAAAGAACCTGAAGACTTCCGCCAAGATGGAGGCATAGGTGGATGTGCCGTGCCTTCTCACACAACCAAGATTAGAGAAAACTAAATATTAGCAACAGAAAACACAGCCAGAACACGGAAAATTGAACTTTTCGGAAGTCCGTTAACAACAAATTCTTCAGCCTGACCGCGTCATAACCCAGCGACTCTGAGTGGCCCGGCCCAGGTGAACCACCTAAGGCACTGCTCCTCCGCACCCAGCTGTGAGAAACAACAGAGGGGGTCGCCATTTCCCCGCTCTGGCCACGCCCCCACATACAGCGTCACAACCCAGCGACCTGGGAATCCAAGGCGCCGCTTCTCACACTTAAAGGGCCCAAACAGACCAAGAATGGCGCAGGAGGATCTCAGAGCCCCAGAGCCAATAAATCTAAGCGATGAAGAAATAGCAAAACTCACAGACGCACAGTTTAAAACACTGGTGATCAGGATCCTCACAGAACTGGTTGATTATACCGACAAATTAGACAAATATATGAAGGCGAAACTAATTGAAATGAATGGAATTGCACAGGACACCAATAGCAATGAAAAGGAAACTGGGACTCAAATCAATGGAGTGGACCAGAAGAAACAAATAATGGCCAAACAGAAAAGAGTCAAGAAGCAAGAATTCAAAGAAATGAGGAGAGGCTTAGGAACCTCCAGGACATCTTTAAATGCTCCAACATCCGAATTATAGGGGTACCAGAAGGGGGACAGCCACCAGTGGAAAACTTATTTGAACAAATAATAAAGGAGAAGTTCCCCAATCTGGCAAAGGAAATAGACTTCCAGGAAATCCAGGAAGCTCAGAGAGTACCAAAGAAGTTGGACCCAAGAAGGAACACACCAAGGCACATCGTAATTACATTAGCCAAGATGAAAATGAAGGAGAGAATCCTAGAAGCAGCAAGAGATAAGGGGACAGTCACCTACAAAGGAGTTCCCATCAGACTGTCAGCTGATTTCTCAAAAGAGACCTTCCAGGCAAGAAGGGGCTGGAAAGAGGTATTCCAAGTCATGAAATCCAAAGACCTACAACCAAGATTGCTCTATCCAGCAAAGTTTTCATTTAGAATAGATGGACAGATAAAGTGCTTCTCAGATAAGATCAAATTCAAGGAGTTCATCATCACCAAGCCCTTATTATATGAAATGTTAAAGGGACTTATCTAAGAAAAAGAAGTTAAAGAAACATGAACAGTGAAAGGACAGCAAACTCCCAGTTATTAACAACCACACCTAAAACGAAAGCAAACTAAAAGGACAGCTAGATCAGGAGTGGAAACATAGAAATGAAGATCTCAAGGAGGGTTAGCAATAGGGGAGTGGGAGGAGGAGAAGGGGGGAGAAGGTACAGAAAATAAGTAGCATAGACAGTAGATAGAAAATAGATGGGGGGGGCAAGAATAGCATGGGAAATATAGAATCTAAAGGACTTGAGACACATGGTCATAAACTAAAGGGGGGGTAATGGTGGGGATGAGGGGTAGGGTGGAGGGGAATAAAGGGGGAATAGAACAACTGTAACAGCATAATCAATAAAAAAATTTAAAAAAAAAAGAACTTGAGACACGTGGTCATAAACTAAAGGGGGGAATGGTGGGGGAGGGGTGTGCAGGGTGGAGGGGAATGAAGGGGGGAAATAGAACTGTAATGGCATAATCAATAAAATATATTTTTAAAAAAGAATCAAAAGGCTTGTCCTGACTAGGTGTGGCTCAGTGGGTTGGGTGAGGTTCTGCAAAGTGAGGGGTCACCAGTTCAATTCCTGGTCAGGGTATGTGCCCAGGTTGCGGGTCAGTCCGGGGTCCGAGCACGTGTGAGAGGCAACCGTCTGATGTTCCTCTCTCACATCAATGTTTCTCTCTCTCTCTCTTTCCCTCCCTTCCCCTCTCTCTAAAAATAAATAAAACTTTAAAGACTCAAAGGCCCATAATTGCATACAAAATACAAAAAAATCAGATCATATTATGAATAGACATTTGCTAGGAAATTTAAATGTTACATAAACAGACAGGCTGACAGTGACCAGAGGGGAGAGGGGAGGGAATTTCCGGGGAAGAGGGGAAGGGTTTGCAGGAACAAGTATAAAGGACACAAGGACACAAACGGGGTGGGGGGTGGGAATGGGAGGGAGGTGGGGAGGGCTGTGGGGGTGGGCTGGGATGGGAGTGAAAGGCAGAAAACTGTACTGGAACAACAATTAGAATTTAAAAATAAATAAATAAATGTTACATAAATGGGCAATCTTTTGGAAGAACATGAATTAATAAAAAACTCAAGAAGAGGGAGAAATGGGAGTCCGCTGGTAGTGATCAAAGAGATGGAAGTGAGGGTCACAGAGGACGTAGCCCAGCCCTCCACCCCACCAAAGGCGCAGGCTCCAAGGTCAAGTTTCAGCACGCTCAAGGTCAGCGACTGCCATTTCACGGAAACTGTTCTAGAGAATAATGATAGGGGAAAGTATCCACCCTGTTCTTACGCTGAAGCTTAATGCTGAAATTGGGCAAAAATGACATTTTAGAAGAAAATTAGAGGCCAGTTTTAGAAATGAATTTGCAAAAACCCTAAATAAAATAAATTGGCATAATATGTCGAAAATTTCCAAGAAATGTAAGGATGTCTTTTTAACATAGTCAATTGAGATACAACTCACATACCATAAAATTCACCCACTTGAAGTGGACAATTCAGTTTTAGCATTTTTGCAAGGTGGTACAACTCTCCCCACGAGCTCTAACATGTCTTCACCACTCCGGAAAGAAACCCCGTGCTCACCGGCACTGCTCGCCACCCACCCTTCCCCCCATCCCCCGCAGCCCCTCGTCTATGGCATGTCTGTGTGGATTTGCCCACTCTGGACATTTCATAGCAATGGAATCCCACCATGTGTGGCCTTTTGTGACTGGTCTCTTTCTCTTGCGTGGCATTTCCAAAAATCACCCACATTGCGGCGTGGGTCAGGAGCTCCATCCTCCTTACAGATGAATGATAGTCCGCTGAATGGTGAACTTACTTTGTGTGTCCAGCAGTTTGTGGACGTTTATTTTAATTCCACTTTTGGCCGCAATGGATCGCGCTAGTTTTTGTGGGGACACACGTTTTCAGTCCTTGTGGTTTGATGCCGAAGTGCGAATTTGATGGACCACACGCTGACTCTCCATTTAGCTCCCGAGGAACTGCCAGACGCCGGTCCATCAAGGCCGCGCCGTTCTACACTCTGACTATGCGTGAACTTCCGGTTTCTCCACGTTCTTACCAACACTTGTTTTCTTCATTAAAAAAGTTAGAGCCGTCCTGGCAGATGGGCAGTTAGTATCAGGTTGTTCTTGTTTTGTAGCGATTTGCACTTTCCTGATGACGAATGACAGCGTGTTTCTGCGTGCCTACTGACCCTGTGCACATCTGCTTTGGGGGAATATCCATCCAAGTCCTTCGCCCATTTTTAAATGGACCTCGTCTTGCTGTTGTGGACTGTGCTAGATTTCGGAGCACGGGCCCTTCCTGGAGGCAGGCTTTGTGAGTTTTTCTCCCGATTGGTTGTCCTTTCACTTTAAAAAAAAATTTATTTATCTATCTTTAGAGGGGAAGGGAAGGAGAGAGGGAGAGAAATATCAATGTATGGTTGCCTCTGGTGCGTCCCCTGCTGGGAACTGACCCACAACCCAGGCATGTGCCCTGACTGGGAATCGAACCGTGATCCTCTGGTTCGCAGGCCCACGCTCAATCCACTGAGCTACACCAGCCAGGGCTCCTTTCACTTTTTAATAAAGTTTTCTGATACACAAAAGTTTTTTTAAGATTTTATTTATTTATTTTCAGAGAGAGACATATTGGTGGTTTGCTTCTCATACGTGACCCAACCTGGGAACCCACAACCCAGGCACGTACCTTGGCCAGGAATTGAACCAATGGCCTTTTGCTGCTTTACAGGACGATGCCCAACCAACTGAGCCAGTAGGGTTAGTAGGTCTCTGATCAATTTTGAGCTAATTTTGTAAACGATATGAGGTGAGGGTCTGGTCCCAGCACTCGCCATTTGTTGGACATACGATTCTCTCCCTGTGGAACAGTCTTGTCACCCTTGCTGAAAATCAGTCGGCCATAGGTGTGCATTTTCACTTTTAGACTCTCAAGTCTATTCCATTGGTCTGTATGTCCATCCTCCCCCAGTACCACGCTGTCTTGATTCCTGCAGCTCGGCAACAGGCTTTGAAATCGAGAAGTGAACATCCCCTGTCTTGGTTCTTGTTTTCCAAGATTGTTTTGGTTATTCTGGGGCTTTTGAAATTCCATGTGGATGTCAGGATAGCGTTCTCTTGTAAAAAGGGCAGCGAGAATGTCCATAGGCATTGTGTTGGATTCTACTCTACACCCAGAGAAACTATGCTTCAAGAATGAAAGCAGAATGAAGACACTTAAAGACAAATAAAAGCCTGAGATGATGTCACACAAGCAGGTTCGCATGCAGGGAAATTCTAAAGGGAATCCTTTAAGTAGAAGGGCAGTTACTCTGGAGGGACTCACAGAGACCCAGGAAGGACTGGGGAGCAACAGCCAAAGTTAAAGAGGTGGGTAACTCTAGATGAATACCGATTCTATGAAATACACAGTGGTACATTACCAGGAGTTCAGTATGTGGAAACATCGAAACATAGAGAGAATTGAGACGTGACAAGGTGAGAAGACGGTGAGCACAGGTGAAGTGTCGGGAGGTCCTCACGCTGCTCGTTTCCATGGTTTCTGGCACCGGAGCCTGATGTCAATAGAATGGAGCGGAGGACCAGACAGGAACCTGCGGGGACAGGGAGGAAAGTGTGTTAGTCTCTCACTGCCTGCGAGACTGCATTGTTTTTATCCTCCCCTGAGGACATTTTCTCATTCCTTTGAGAGAGAGAGAGAAAGGGAGAGAGGGAGGGAGGGAGGAAGAGAGAGAAACACTAATATGAGAGAAAAACAATGATTGGTTGCCCTCTCGTATGTACCTCTACTGGGGATCCAACCCCCAGCCTGGGTATGTGCCCTGACATCCCTGCGACCCTTCGGTCAATGGAATGATGCTCTAACCTGAGCCCCCCAGCCAGGGCAAGACTCCAGTTCTGACGGTGGGATGTCTGGCGGAAGAACCTGGCCTCCTTGGACAGGGAGCTATAAGTGTGCCTGTCCCAGGCACTGGAGAGGCCGAAGAAGGAAATTTGGCCCCTACAAGGCGAGCCAGCACGCGAATGACAAGGTACGTCGGCTGCAGCAGCAGCTCCCAGTGTCCTGCTGCGACCTTCTGAATGGGAAGGGACTAGGACCAGTAGTCTGCTCCTGCCTTCGGCGTGTGGCTCGGAACATCTCCCGTGACCCGCCCTGCTCAACAGGGTGCAGGGAAGCTAGTTCTGGCTGAGTGGGCTGAGTTGGCAGGGCAGGCTTCACGTCAAGAAGGGTTCCAGATGCAAAGAAACATTTCCTCATAAAACAAGGACATTCCATCAGGAAGATAAAAAATGCTAAATTTTTACAGAGTCATTGATACCACGGTCTCAGAATGGATAGGGCAAAAGTGGGCAGAATTACAAGGGGAAGTAAAAAATCCACATTTATAGTAGGAGACTTTAACTCCTCTCAAAAACTAATAGAACAAGAAGATAAAGCCATCATTAAGGATACAGAAGATTTTACTGATATAATTAGCAAATTTGACTTAATTGATTATAGGTCGACAAAAATTGGCTTTACCTTAAAAACCAGTCTTAACACAGTTTGAAGGATTCAATTATACAGGGTATGTCCTCTGAAAATAGCAAAGTGAAACTAAGAATTAACAGCAAGAGATAAATAGAAAATCCCTCCCAAGTTTGGCAAATAAATAATATGCTTCTAATAACTTCAGTCGAAGAAGAAAACTTATTAAAAACAAAGCAGAAACTATTTTGAACTAAATGAAAGGAATAATACCACATATTAAAACGTACGGACTGCAGTCGCAAGAGACAGAACTCACAGTCTACACTGCACAGTGAAAAAAAATCACTATAAGGCTAAACATCAGTGATCTAAATATTCAACTAAAAAATTAGGAAAAGAGTGAAGAATTAAGCCCCAGGAAAGTAGAAGGAGAGAAGTAATCATTATAAGAGCCAACACTGATTAAGTAGAAAACAAAAGTGAGAAAGGATCAGCAAAGCTCAAACCTGGGAAGGTTATCAGGGAAAAGGAGAGACGGTTCAAGTACCCAGGGTCCAAAGGAACCAGAAGGCATCCCTACAGTTCCTACGGATGTCAAAAAGATGATAAAATAGCCCTGGCCCGAGTGGCTCAGGTGGCTGGGCGTCACTCACAAAACCAAGGGGCTTGGGTTGAATTCTGTCCGGGCACGCACCTGGCTGCGGGCTCATCCCTGGTTGGGGGTGCAAATGAGAGGCGACCGATCCAAGTCTCTCTCTCAGTGATGTTTCCCTTTCTCTCTTTCTCCCTCTCTCTCTGAAAACAAACAAATAAAATCTTTTAAAAGATAAAAAATATATATAACTTTATGCTAATACACTAGAAAGTTATGATAAACATTCCCGGAAGAATACAACATGCTAAATATATACTTAGACATACGATTATTAAAGAAATTGGATTCATAGTTTTAATCTTCCCATGAAAAGCTCCAGGCCCCGACACCTTCATCAGTGAATTCTGTGGAACTCGTAGAGGAAAAGAAATACCGGTAGAAAATGAAAGAACATTTCCCAACTCAGTCTTATAGTTATTTTTTATAAAATCCCAAATTGAAACCAGTTTCAGTGATTATATGTAAAATGAATGTATTATGACCCAGGTAGATTTATTTCAGGAATTCAGGGTTCATCTGCTGTTCAAATTTGCTACCTTATCGAAATAAGAAAAATTATGATTCTCTCAATATATGCAGAAAATCATTTGACAAAATTTACTACCCATTCGTGATGAACATTTTCAGCAAATTACTAACAGGAGGGAACATCCTTAATATTATAAAGAGTGTGTACAAAACCCCTGTAGCAAAAACTGGGGGTCCCAGCCAGTTCAGTAAATAGAGGGGAAAAAAAGATATGAAGATTCAAAAGCATGGAACAGATTGTCATTACTCACAGACTTTGTGATTGGTTGCATAGAAAAAAAATTACATGTACTGATGAAACTATTAGAATTAATAAGTGAATATAGCAAGGTTGCTGAATAAAAGGTCAATGTAAAAAAAATCAATGTATTTTGATATTCTGGCAACAATCAGAAAATGAAATTTAAAAATAAGATTCCAGTTACAATGGTTTCAGAGAACCTCAGAAACACAGGAATAAATCTAACAAAAGACGTTCAAGAGCTCTATGTAGCAAATTACAAAACATTACTGAGATTAATTTAAAAACATTTATTAAGTACTCAAGTTTGTAAAGGTGTCAGTTCTGCCCAAATTGATCTGTGAATTCAATATAATCCCAAAACAAATACAGATCTCAGCAGGAGTGTGTGTGTGTAAGTTTAAAGTCTATCAAATACAAAACTCTAAAAATATCCAAGATAATCCTGGGGGAGGTTGGAGGCTGATATCAGGACCTTGTGCTGTCTTTGCTCCTGGCCCCGGGCAAGCTGCCTTTTGGGCCTTTTTGCTCCATGCCTTTGTTGTGGGGGGCGGGTGTGTGCAGGAATGTGCCGGAGCATCCCTGCATAGGGCTGCCGGCCTTTTCGCTTCTTTACTTTGTAAATGGTGTGTTCATATCTCTAGCCCATTCTTCTATGAGGATGTTGTCCATTTTATTTTTAGAAGTTCCTTACTTACTAGATATTAAGTTGGACCACATGAAATTCCTATTTTATTAGGTCAAAAATGGTCAAAACACCAGCAACCTCAGATGGCTGGGCCCAATGTATCGATCGGTTTAGTCGGCAAACAAGCATCAATGTTTCCCGCAGCCTTTTGTGTTCTCAGTTTGCTGACGGTGCTGTTGGCTGCGCACATACTATATTTTTATGTAAACACACTAACCAGTCCTCTTCCCTATTGCTGCTGGGATTTGAGTCATACTTAGGAACATTTCTTGGCTGTGTGACTCCGAAGTTACAAAGGAATTTCCCCATGTTTTTCTTCGTTTAACACCAAAATCTGTGATCCATTTGGAATATATTCTGGTGTGATATAAGAATAGGCTCAATCATGTATTTTTATATGCCTTTCGGGTATCTCGATTTCACATTACATTTCTCCACTGATTTGAGATGTTACCTTCATCAGTATTTAGTTGGGTCCATTTCTGGGCTTTCTGTTTTTTGATTTGTCTATCTACATGTGAGCAGACTGGTGCCACACTGTTTGAATCATGTGTGCTTTAGTGTGTGCTTCACTGCCTGGGTGTGCTAGTCACCCCTCCCCCAACACTGCACGTCTTTGGGGGGGGTGCGGATTATCCCGTTATTCTTTGTTTATCCTTCTAACTGATCTTTAAAATTAACATGTCCCATTCTAGAAACAAGCATGATGACATTCTCATTGGAACTGTGCTATAAATTAATTTAGGGGTGATTGATTTTTCTGTTTCTTCTCCAGTGTCTTTTTTTTAAGATTTTATTTATTTTTGATAGAGAGGGGAAGCGAGGGAGGAAGAGAAGCATCAATGTGCGAGAGAAACATTGATCAGTTGCCCCTTGCGTGCCCACAACCGGGGGCCTGGCCCACAACCCAGGCACGTGTCCTGACAGGGAACAGAACTGGTGACCTTTTGGTTTGCAGGCCGGTGCTCAACCCACTGAGCCACACCAGCCAGAGCTCCAGTCAGTTTTGACAAGTTACATTTTGTTCAGAAAGCTACCAATTTAATGTCAATATTCATCTTCATTGACATAAAATGTGTATAATATTGTTGTACTCTACATTACTTCTGAGTTCATAGTTCTGTCCTTTCTTTATTCCTAGTATTATTTTTTCTCCTTATCTCTTCCCCCTCTCCAAGCAATCTTTCCAGATGGCTGTCACTTTTCTTTGAGTCTGAAAAGGTAAACCTTGTCTTCTCCAGGGTGTTTGTCTCCCACTCCACATTGGGAGTTTAACACGTTCACCCTCATCTTTCCCTTCTTGCTAATACAGGTGTTAGTATGTGTTATCGCTTTCCTCCGCATTTTAGCCATCACAGACATTTCGGTGCTTTGTGTTTCCATCACCGTTACTTCCAAGACATCCCACGATCCCCTTTTGTATTTCTTCACTGACTTAATTAGAAGTTTTTACATCTCCAGGTGAAAGGTCTTCGTTGTTTGTGATTCATTTCTAGTGTGATTGTTGTGGCCATTTCACAGACGCAGCTCGGAGAGTTTCTGGGACTTGCCCAAGGGCGCACATGGGTAAGGGGCGGGGCTGCACCGGAAACTCCCAGTGCGCTTGCTCCGTGCCCCCGCCCCTCTGGCTCACAGTAAATGACACGTGGTTTACTCCTGAACAGCACCATGCGGGCGGGCGTTCTGTTGAGATGGCAAGGTTTCGTTGATAAAACTGTAATGGAATGTGAGCTTTTAATGTCTGTGGGTAAGAAATTGAAACGTTAGAAGTAATAATTAAGTGGGGTGATTTCTTGAAATGAAATCAGGTTACTCCTGATCTGGGTTCTCTCAGAGGCAGAGCTGGAGACAGGACAGTGTGAAGGCGGGTCAGTTGGGGATGCAGACCCAGGCAGCAGAAGGGAGGGTCGAGAAACATCGGTGTGTGAGGGAAACATTGACCAGTTGCCCCTTGCACACCCCTGACCAGGGACCTGGCCTACCACCCAGCCATGCTCCCTAGACTGGGAATCGAACCGGCGACCCCCTGACTTGCAGGCCAGCGCTCAACCATTAAGCCACACCAGCCAGGGCTCAGTGCCTGTCCTTTACCCAGAGACTCAGTGTGACCTGCCTAATTCTCCCTGAGGGACACACAGCTGCGGGTAGTTCCTCCATAATAAAAGGGCAAAAGTTCCGTTTCCCCTTTCACTGGTCTCCTCTCCAAATGTCCGGCGCTGTTACGATCAGCTCACCACGGCAGGGAGAAACTGCCGTGAAGTATCTCGGGGTGCCCGCGTGGGGTTCCCAGGAGCATTTGCTGCCCCTGGGACAAGCAGACAGTCATGCTTGGGTTAAACTGGAACAATTCGGGTTCTACCGTGTTTCAGAAGGTGACGTTCTGCTCAGAGCCTTTCTGGGAAAACTCCCAATGGGCAAAATACCAGCGTAAATTCATGGACGCACGTGGGCTCCAGAATCTACTCAAAAGCAGGTGAGAGGTTTTCTTCTCCCTGGGCAGTCTCCCGTGCAGAGTGACAGAAGACCTAACTAGGGACATCACTCTGAGGAAGAGTGTCCTTGCTTCTTCTTAGTAGTATTGTAATAATCACTTGTCAAGAACTTGGTTCTCCATGGAAACTGAAAGGGTAAATGAGATGCTCAGAAGAGCAAATGACAGCCCGCGACTGCACCTGCGTGTAGCCAATGAACGTGGTTAAAGCTGGAATGAGAAAAGACCACGGTGAACCCCTGCCCCCCCCCCATCCTCTCTCCAGTCACCCCGTTGGCTTCACCCTGAGGGTACAAAAGAGCACAGCCAACCTCCACACAGCCCTGCAGGTAGCTGTCCTAGAAGTGACAGGACGGCAAGGCCTCTTTAAGTCTCCGGGTGACGCGAGCTCCCTCACTCAGAGGTGTCACCGTTCACGTGAGTGACACTTTCTGGACACACTCAGACAGAGCTACATTGCCAGTTGACAGAAAACTATCATGGACCATAAACTCTCTCCCCGTGACGCTCACCAGTCACCGATGGCCTAGCTGGCGGCCGCTTCCTTCCTGTGCGCCCCCAGGGGCCGGGCAGCCAGCCTCCCCCACCCTGCACGGAGGCAGCTCCGCTCTCACAGGCTCTGAACGTCACACAAACTCTCCTTTTGCCACATTAATGAGTGATGCCTGCCATTCGGAAAAAATGCATGCATTTGTATAAAAGACCTAAATTTTTTAAAAAATCAAAATGTGACTCTGTGGACGTGGACGTGCTGGTTGTCACCAACACTCTCGCCCGAGCCTTGAATGGCAGAAGCAAAGCATTTTCTTCTCCTTTTCTGCACCGCGTCCTGGGAGACACACTGAAGTGATTGTGCGGCCTCACCAATAAAAACACCCTCACTGCTTTCCTCACAGGGACTTGGAGAAACCCGACTGTCTGCTTTCTCGAACCCTGTACCTGGTGTGCTCCGCAACCCTGACCGGAATCTCCCAGGCACCAAGTTTGGGGTCTCTGCCATCCCCCAGCAGCACCCTGTCTGGCCCTGGTGGCAGGACTCTTTCTAACGGGCGCCCCTCTCCCAAGCACCAAGCTGCCCTCCTGCCCTCTCAGTTTTAGCAGGAGACCTGGTTTCCCGTCCTACACAGAAAATGTCAGCCCCCAGAGCCCTGTGCGGGCGGGCCACCAAGCGCCCACCGCCCACTACCCTGGATTTCCCCAGCCCCTCTTCCTTCCCTACAAACATTTCAAGGCTCTTTGGACCAGACTGAGATCGGAAAGAAATACTGGCTCTAGAAGGAGAGAGAGAAAGAAGAGGGAATGTCAACACTAATCATACTGTTAAAAGCAAAATTGTAAAACGCTCTTCCGAACTTTAGTCTCGAAACTCCAGAGTGTGGGATGGGAACCCTTGAACGTGATCGCCCCACTGGAGGGATGGCCCAGTAAGTGGGCCAGAGCAGGCGACTCAAATGTGCCAGACGTGGCCCCCAAACCCAGCAGTCTTCCAAGTGTGTGTCCCCTTCTCACTTGACGGCAGGGGACCCCAAAGGCGGTAGCTGTCCTCTACCGTAGAGGGGTAGTCCCGGCACAGCCTGGACCACCAGACCCCCCGGGATTTCACAGACCCGTGCACCCTCACAAGACTTTGCCTTCCACCATCAGCCACAGAGGTTTCTCACCTGTTCCCTACGACACCTGCTCCCTCCGACAGGTACTGTCTGGGCCAGGACATTCTTGGTTACACCTGTTCACCGCCCCCCAAATCATCCAGGAGTCCAGGACAAACGGTACTTTGTAACACAGGGCACGAGGAGTGTGTTACAAGGCATCTTGACCAAAAGGAAGAAACTGGAACCGCATTGTGAGCAAGAAGAAAAATCACCTTCGTTATTTCACAGTCACCGATCTGAAATACGCACGCCCATGTTCGCGGGGCTCTGGAGACGCCTTTTGTTCTGTCCCATTGACTTAACGAGGGTAATGAACTTGGACACCGAAAAGGGTGACTGCCTGGGCAGCTCTTCCATGTTCCCAACTCTCTTTTCATGGGGTCTGTTTCCTGGTGGCAATAACATTTGTTGACTCTGAAAACGGGAGACAGCCCTTTCATGGTAGGGTGTCACCATGGTGTTCCGCCGGTCCTCGCCCGCGAAGCTCGGACACCCCCTTTCTCTGAGGGGCTGGGGAGCGCCGGGAAAGCAGCTGACTCCAACAGAAGCAACAGTCACTTAGAGAAAAGGGAAGGGGACAGATTTATTCCCGTCCCACTTGTCCCCCAGAACACGGTTTCATCAGAATGCAGAGGGTAATCGCCCCAGAAGCGAAGCTGCTGCCCCATTGAATATTTGGTCTGTGTTTTGAGTTCGGGAACATTAACCCCTATTATGCGATTCTGGCAGCTAATGGTTGTTTTTTTTTTAATTTCTAATGTTTAACCTATGAAGTTATACTTCCTCCTTCTTGAAAGAATTACAGTTTTTGCAAATGATCGTACGTTGAAGGTTTTTTAATTTCCACAATGAGATCATTCATATCCTACAAGTCAAATAAGAAATGTTCTCAGGGGAGCACGGGGGACAAAGCTTAAACACAGGCCCCATGTCGAAGCCGTTGCACGAACACCACGCACCCCGCCCTGCCCCCACCAGTCCCGGGGGAAAGTCACGTCGTCACCTGCCCTGCCCTCCATCCTCATTGGCCGAGGGCGAGTCCCGAGGGTCTGGTTTGGTTTCTGGCTTTACAGAAGTTGTAATGGAAGGAGCTTTAAGATGTTCATTTTTATGATAAGTGTCTTTTTAGAGATTGTAATGAACACCAATAAACCTGTTCGGTTTTCTGCTTACAGCTTTGTTAAAAAGGCTTTTGCTGGAAGGCTCCTTTAAAAGTCCCAAGGACTCTGGCTTCTAAAGTAGTTTATATCTGAGGCAATAAATAACGTTTCTAGGGAACACATCGGGGGCCGGATATAAATCTCAAGCAGGACCAAGCAGCGGATAACGTTTGTGGGGAGCGAGACACGCTGCTTCTTATTTGGGAAGAAAGCGGAAAACCCCTCCCTTCAGACTAGAAAAGCCCACACGTACACTTCCCCTATTTTGTGGGGCGACATGCTATAATTCTTCCCATTTTTTGGCTCCTTTCTCACATTGGAAAAGAGTTAAGGAAGGCCAGAAAGGAAAATGGATGTCTTTTCTCTGATTAGTTGGGGACAATTTGAGAAGAATATTCTTACTGAGGAAGAAAAGCTACTGGCTGGTTCAAGAAGCCGCAGGCAGGGGGGCTGGTAGCACCGAACCCCCTGCCCCCAGGCACCCTCAGGAGGACCAGGGCAGAGTGACAGAGAGTAAAATCTGGTGAAATAGTTTTAAAAATCTTCTGGAAAAAATTTTTAATTCTCACCAGAGGATATGTTAATTGATTTAGAGAGAAGGGGGGAGAGAGAGAGAGAAAGAAACGTCGCTGGGTTGCCTCCCACGCACCCCCTGACCAAGGATCGAACACATGATCCTTTGGTGTGTGGGATGATGCCCCAAGTAACTGAGCCACCCAACCAGAGATGGCGAAAAAATGGTTTTAGGTGCAGCTCAGTGGATTGAGCATGGGCCTGAGAACCAAAAGATCACAGTTCGATTCCTAGTCAGGGCACGTGCCTGGGTTGCAGGCCAGTTCCCAGCAAGGGACACATGAGAGGCAACCACACATCGATATTTCTCTCCCTCTCTCCTTCCCTTCACCTCTAAAGATAAATAAATAAAATCTTTAAAAATGGTTTTAATGCTTAGAAAGTTATATAACAAAAGGTAACACTTAAAAAAAAAACTGTGTACAAAACACTAACAAAGTTTATTTTAGCAGAAGATAAAAGCGAAACTTAAAATCCTCTGGCATCATCGGCCACCTCATTCCACGGCTGTTGGTGTGCATTTGCCCCTGAGCCGCGATAACGGCATCGAACACTCAACCGGAGAAACGCCGAGGCTGCGGGCCCCGCCTGCGCCTGGCGAGGGGTGGGCTCGCGTTTTGAATGAGTGTCGAGGGCTGCACCTTTCACACGAGTGAAGGGCACTTCGCCGAGATTTTTTTTCTGGACTCCTAAAACACAGGAGTAGGTTTCCCTCCTACATTCGTTTCTGAAATGTCTGCCCTAAATAAAACCGGCTCATCTCCGAGGGCAAAGGCAGCCTTCTGGCTCAGCGAGAACATTTTTAACGCTGTGACCACTTTCTTATTTGCAGTGACTGTCTTTTCTTAACCTAACCTGTAGGAACCACCATTTTTAAACAGAATTTGTCCACACTTGTGTCCTGTAGACAGCAGGCAGGATGAAATAAGCACATCTAGATGGTTCTTAACAAAAAGACGACAGAAGTTGAATATCACCCTTCAAAACAGTGAGGAGGACAGGCCACTTGCCTTTGAATACGCTCCACCCGAGGGGCCAGGTGGCTCGGTCGGTTGGAGCATCACCCGCACACCCAAGTCTGCGGGATGGATTCCAGGTCAGGGCACGCGTCTGGGCGGCGGGCGTGGTCCCGGGTCGCGGAGGGTTTGGGAGGCAGCCCGTTGATGCTTCCTCTTTCTTTCCCTTCTCCTCTCTCTAAAAACAATAAAAACAGCCTCTGGTGAGAATTTTTAGAAGTCTGTAAATTCAGCACACTTCCTTGAACCCCACCTGGCTCTGTGGGCCCGTCCCGTGTTGCACAGAGATGTCCACAGAAGCGACCTCATGGGGTGTGTGTCCGCGGTTTGAAACCCGAAGGTGGGGGTGCCTGACAGGGTGGAAGCTTCTCCCTTCAAACTGCTGGTCCAGGCGGAGCCAGGACCGGGGGAAGCCCTCCCCCACCCGTGGGGCAACACGGACCTGGGTGGACGGCAAGTGAGCCTGAATCGAGACTTCTCTTAAGACGGGGCTGCTGAGGCCCTGGCTCCTCCCTGAAGTCCCACGTAAGGAGACTCAGCTGTGATGTGTCATTTTCGAGGAAGCCGATTGTCTCCAGCGGTCGTGGACTCAGCCTCCCTCCCCACCTGGGCCTTCTTGGCAAAGAAGCCGAATACCCTTTTCAAGTTCTATTAGGCTGTGGTTCTTGTTCCCATAATATCTTTCTCTTCTCTTCCATCGACCTGTTTATTTTCGTTTGGTAAGTTCTAGCACTTCATCATTCCTCACATTAATGTTGGCTTGAATAGCTGAGACCTGTATTTCTTGTGAAGCTAAGAAAAGCACTGAGGTCTCTTTGACAATATCACTCATGGGATCAAACATCTGAATGATGTTCTCCCAAGTTTACTTCCTTCTCTCAGTTCATCGACGTGGACATTTGGGACTTGCTACGATTTCCAAAGGCATTTGCAACACTTTTGGATCCAAGTAGCCTTCCAGTTTCCACTATTTCTTCTCCAGCTTTTTTTTTTAGATTCTTTGATTCTCTTTGCTGGCCACTCAATACTTGGCAGAAAACTCGTACAAGGTTGCACTTTGTGGGCATCCTGACCCGGAGTAACTGAAAACCAAGGACTGTCAAACAAGAATCTCCGTGTGTGTTTTTGAAAATAGATTGTCAGAGACATGAATATGCATGTTAAGGTTCCACTGGATAGATTCAAAAGAGTAATAAAAAGAGGCGTGGCTAAAAAGTTCCTATTTATAGTGCCCTAGAAATCACGTCTCCAACTTCTAAAATTTAAGAGCAAGTATTTTAGATGTCAAATTGAAACTGGGAGGGGAACATGGTTTTACAAACCCCGGTAAGGGACATACAAGCAAACAAGTTGGAACCTGTGGCCACGTGTTATCCCACACGGACCTCGTGTGGCTTCTCTTTGACCTGGTGGCGGGCTCTCGGGTTCTGTCTGGTTTTTCACTGTCCCAGACAATGCTGCCAGGACCACCCGCGGTGTCTGCGGCTCAGGAGGAGTTTCTCCAGGGTCCCCATGGAGGAATCTCGGGGTGAAGGGAAGGGGATTTTTAACTTGACTGGCTAGTTTGCTCTGCCCCCCGCCCGGTGGCCCTGAGTACAGTCCCCCGCAGTGTCCCCACTCTCCCGACCCGGCACGACCTTGCGGGCACCGGGCCTGGCCACATCCAGATTTCTGCGCATCTGGGAGCTCTGGGTTGGTATTTGATGGGTGGGGTTTCTATGGTTACCAGGTGCCGAGGTGCCGGGGAGGCAGTGACACAGGGACACACCCCTGCTCAGAGCTCACTGCTGAGCAAGGGGATGACTTACCAGATGCCAGTTTGTGAGGGGGTCGCTGCATTCTCCCATCTTCCAGCCCGGGACCCCTTTCCCCCTGGGTGGGGGCAGAAGTCCTGTGGAAGCCACCTTCCCCCTGTATTCCTGAACTCATCGGGGAGGAAGAGCTGGCTGTTCCCTGTTGGGAAGAGTCCCCAAGACTCATAAGAGGATGCATTTCAAGCTTCTATGAGGAGAGTGGACCGGTGAGGTGGCTCAGGCACCAGGGGCCAAGATGCCAGGGTCTAGGAACGGCAGGAGCAGAGAAGGCCGGGCAAGGGTGTCCTGCATTTCCAGGTATGGGCCTCAGATTGGAGGGGCTCCCTTCCATGTTTTAGTCTGGGGTGGGCTCTGCATTTGGACGGGATGAAAGTTAAGAGCCTCAACTTCCAGTCAAGATGGAGGCATAGGTGGAAACAGTGTGCCTCCTCGCACAACTGAGTTTAAAGACAACAAAGTTTTAGTAACAAAAACGCAACCAAAACACAGAAAATTGAACCGTACAGAAGTCCGACAACAACGAACCCTTCAGCCAGATTGGTAAGAGGGGCGGAGTCAGCGGCTGACAGAGGGGGGTTGCGCAGGAAAAATCGGCCAGACCGACCCGGTCACGCAGATGGCGGTTGTGGGATCCCAGACCTGGGGTTGTGACGGGCAGACCCAGTGAGGGCGCAAGGCCGGCAGGCTGACTGAGGTCACACAGTCACGTGCAGATAAACCAGGCGAAGGAGCTAGCAGTGAGAAGGACCATGCAGGCCACAGCAGCTTGCAGGAAGCAGCAGAGGAGACCGCTATTGCCCCGCTCTGACCCCACCCCCACATAGAGGTCACAAACCAGTGACCTGGGTGGCCCCGCCCTGGTGAACACTTAGGGCTCCACTCCTCGTACATAACAGGCGTGAACAGACCAAAACATTATGGCTCAAGAACAGCTCAAAGCCCCAGAGCCAATAATTCTAAGCGACCAAAAGATAGCCAACCTATCAGATGCACAGTTCAAAACACTGGTGATCAGGATGCTCACAGAACTGGTTGATTTTAGTCACAAATTAGAGGAACATATGAAGGCTAAACTAATTGAAATGAAGGGAAATGCACAGGAAACCAATAGTGATGGAAAGGAAACTGGGACTCAGATCAAAGGAGTGGACCAGAAGGAAGAAAAAATGACCCAACAGAAAAATATGAGGAAACAAGAATTCAAAAAAACGAGGAGAGGCTTAGGAACCTCCAGGACATCTTTAAACGCTCCAACATCCAAATTATAGAGGTATCAGAAGGGGAAAAGGAACAGCTACGAGTGGAAAACTTATTTGAACAAATAATAAAGGAGAACTTCCCCAATCTGGCAAAGGAAATAGATTTCCAGGAAATTCAGGAAGCACAGAGAGTCCCAAAGAAGCTGGACCCAAGAAGGAACACACCAAGGCACATCATAATTACATTAGCCAAGATTAAAATGAAGGAGAGAATCCTAAAAGCAGCAAGAGATAAGGGGACAGTCATCTACAAAGGAGTTCCCATCAGACTGTCAGCTGATTTCTCAAAAGAGACCTTACAGGCAAGAAGGGGCTGAAAATAGGTATTCCAGGTCATGAAATCCAAAGACCTACAACAACCAAGATTGCTCTATCCAGCAAAGCTTTCATTTAGAATGGAAGGGCAGATAAAGTGCTTCTCAGATAAGATAAAATTCAAGGAGTTCATCATCACCAAGCCCTTATTCTATGAAATGTTAAAGGGACTTATCTAAGAAAAAGAAGTTAAAAAAACATGAACAGTGAAAGGACAGCAAACTCCCAGTTATTAACAACCACACCTAAAACAAAAGCAAACTAAGAGGACAGCTAGATCAGGAGTGGAAACATAGAAATGGAGATCACATGGAGGGTTAGCAACAGGGGAGTGGGAGGAGGACAAGGGGGAAGAAGGTACAGAGAATAAGTAGCATAGACGGTAGGTAGAAAATAGACAGGGGGCAGGGCAAGAATAGTATGGGAAATATAGAATCTAAAGAACTTGAGACACATGGTCATAAACTAAAAGGGGGGAGTGGTGGAGGGGAATGAAGAGGGGGAATAGGACAATGTAATGTCATAATTAATAAAATATATATATTTTTTTAAAAGTTAAGAGCCTCAAGAACGAAGGGCATTCGCCTGCCGCTTGCCTGGCAGGACGCAGGCCTAGAGTCAAACCTAATTCAACAGGGAAAAGGAAATGGGTGTTTCTAACCTGTGCGTGCGCGTAAGACTCACGTGGTCACCCAGGGGTCTCAATGTGCTGGACAATGAGCGCCTTGGAGGCCCAGCAGGCAGCTCAGCCCCCAGGTCCAGGGGACTGAAGGGGGTACTTCCTCTGAAGGGTGAGGATGTATTAGCTGGGAAGACTGTGGAGTTAAGAAAGCTGGGCTCCACCCGGGGAGTGATGGGTGGGGAGCTCTCAAAGTGTTGCTTTCCTTCTTTTAAGGATCATGACACACGTAGATTTGCTCCAGAACAATTAACCAGACTGTGGTGTGGATGACGGATTGGAGGACGGGAGCCTGGACTGAGCCAGGGAGACATGGCATGGAAGTAGGTGACAGATGATGGCGGCCCCGGCAATGGCGATGGCAGTGGGGACTGGGTATGTGTGAGAGGGTTGGAAGGGAAACACTGAGCCTCCTGCGGCCCTGGCTGGGGTGGGGGGCGCGTGGGGTGGGGAGGAGTCAGGCTGGTGGGAGGGACGCTGGGAAGGGCAGGTGTGGGAGGGAAGAGGAGGGCTCTGTTCGGGCTTGCTCCCTCCTGTGACTGCGGGGACCCACCCAGCAGCAGGGGGCCCTTTCTGAGGCTCAGGGGCAGGATCGGGCCATGACCGTGCAGCTTCTGGGGGTCACCAGGCCATAAGGGTGATAAATAAGGCCCTGGCTGGGAAGGCTTTGCCCAAGGAGAGTGAGAAGAAAAGGGGACCTGGGGCAGACATAGTTGTTTATGTGAGTTTAAAATACACTCGTTTTGTGTTGAACTGGCTGCCCCCACCTCTTTATTCCCATCCCAAACACAATTTACAGTCATTTCTCCAGCTTTACCTGACATCTCGTATAAAAGTAGCTACCACTGAAGCCAGGTCCTCTTTCCAGTATCAGGAACAACCTGAGTCCTAGAACAACCGCGACGGGAGCTGAACCAACCTTCCAGGCCGCTGTTGTGAATTTCCGGCTACACGTTGCTTTGATAATGAGGCTCTTAGCTCACGGTTAGCTTATGAAGTTCCTAATTAAATGAGAATGGGAAGATATGTTTATTATTTATTTCCAAGCACACAACCTTTGATAACGAAGTGAGGCATCCTGACGGCGTGTGCCGACAGGCACGGTTCCAATCTGGGCTGTCAAGGTCGGCTGGCAAGAAATGGGACCCACTGTTTTTACAGACCTCACATATTCAAAGGGTGTTTTCCTCTCCAAAGCCGAGGATTAGTCAATGATTACGCCCTTTGAAAGGGCATAACTGAAGCTGCTTTGGTGGGGGGGGGGGGGGGCGGGCAGATGCTCCCATGAGTGTCTGCCTCAGGGGTTCATGAATCTCCTGCAAGGGGGAGGGGGCTTGAGTTTTGGAATCAGCCAAGTCATTCAGAGCCAAGTTCGATGAGTAAGAGGGAAGCCTGAGCACGGTCATATCAGATCAACAAACACGTCCTGCCTCCCCGCCCCCCGCACCCCAACCCGCTCCCCTCGGTGTTCACTGCCTCTTAAGAGCACCTCCATCCCCCAGCCCGAAGACTGACTTCATTCTTCATCACTGAAATGCATGCTCTTTCCCCTCCTTTTTCACCCCCACACCTAATTCGCCACCCAGGGAAGGCAGCTTTGTTCTCCAACACACACCCCAGAGCCTCCCACTGCCTCCCTCTCCCTGCATCACCCCAGTGCCGGGGCCATGGCCCCTCCCCAGGAGGTGCCAGTCCCTCGTCCCTCACGCCCCCCAGTCCTGCAGCACCATCTCCTTCCCGCAGGGCAGGTGCCGCCCTCTCCTGCTGAGCGTCCCCCGCAGCTCTCTTTGTCTTGCCGGCACCCCAGGGAAGTCCCCTCTGGACCTTGTGAGCTCTCTGTAGGTTCCTTGAACCCGCCCAGGTTTCTGCCACCGTGGAGTCCCTGTCCTTGCTCTTGTCTCAGCCCCGCAACGCTCTGTGTGTGCCTGGCTCCTACGCATATGCCTTCCCTGCTAATAACAAGCTGCTTCGAACTGGGCGCCTTAAAACAACAGAAATGTGTTCTCTCGCAGCTCCGGAGGCCAGAGGTTCACAATCGAGGTGCCGGCAGGGCCACGATCCCTCTGAAAGCTACAGGAGAGGGTCCTTCCTGCCTCTCCCAGCCCTGGGGTTGCCAGCATTCCTTGGCTTGCAGCTGCATCACTCCGGTCTCTGCCTCCGTCTCCACATGGCCTGCTCCCCTGTGTTCTCTCTCTTCTTCTTCTGAGGATACCAGTCCTACCGGGTTTCGGCCTCGCCCACGTCCAGTAGGGCCTCTTCTTAACTAATTACATCCGCAATCATCTGATTTCCAAATAAGGTCACGTTCACAGGTACTGGCAGGTAAGTAGGACTGCACAGGAGCACAACTCAACCTGTAACCACGGCCGATGGCTCTCGGCCATCACAGGAATCCCTTTCCCTGGGTGGGCGGAGCTCTCCAGGGTGGGCGGAGCTCTCCAGGGTGGGCGGAGCTCTCCAGGGTGGGCTGCCACCATCGGCTCGGGCCTCAGCAGGTGTCCGTGGCGACTCTTCTCTCATCCGAGATGAACACGTGTGTTCAGTTGACTTGCCTTCGTGTCTGTCTCTTGCTTGACTGTAAGCTCCTTGAGCCCCGGATCCCCGTGCCCGGCACTTCTCCAGAGGCCGACAGCAGGGAGCCACCCTGCAGATGTTCAGCACAGTTTCATTACCTGGACTGCATAATGGGTGTCAGGCTAGAGGAGGCAGCAGCGGCCTGAGGATCGGACGACGCAATGGAAACGGGACTATAAGCCACACCCATCTAGTGCTTTCTATCTCTCGATGTCTTCAAAGCTGTTATTTCATGGAATCCACACAGCAGCTCAGCAAGACAGACCAGGCAAGTCTGAGCGCCCCCCCCCTTCTTCAGAGAAGAGCTTGCCCGTCAAGCTCATACTGAACAGAGATGGGGGACCCCTGACTGTGGAGCTGGGAGGAATCCGGCGAGACACAGGGTCTGATCTGTTCCTTGTACAACTGAGAGAACAGGGGCTGGAGGAGTGAAGCGTTTCACTGATGATGTCTCAGCTGCTGACTAGCAGAGCAGGGCTGGATACTGAGTCCTTCCATTTCTTAGGGAACCCCCAAACACGTTTAGGGAACAGCAGGGGGGGCGCAGCAAATATGTGTCCTCCCAAAACGATGCCCCGGCAGGACGAGGCTCCTCCAGAACACACCTGTAATGTGCCAGACTTCTGGGAGGGGGCCCCTGACGCCCCGCCTCTGGGTCTGGTGAGCTTGAGGGATAAACTGTTGAGGGACCCTGAGTGATCTGGCCTTGAGGAATATTTGATCAATGATGAGGGGCCTCACGAATCGGTTCATACCAGGGCATCTGTGATTAATGGGGAGCCTATCCCAGCTGAGCCTACTTTTTAAGAGAGAATGTCTGGAAATTGTGAGCCCCGGGCAGAAACCTCTGCTGCGGGTGCCTCACAGAACACCTGACCCTGTCTGCACTCAAGGGACAGCGCTTGAATGAATGCAGGCAGAACTCAGGCACAGCTGAACTTGAACATGGCGGAGGCTCTGAAGCAAGAGGGACCCTTCCAGAACCGCTCAGTGTGTCCCTCAGACTTCACACATCACCTGTTCCCTCTGCTTGCAGGATTTGTATTACCCTGAAAACTCACTCAGGGGTGGACAAGTGCGAGCTAAAGAATCAGGGACAGTTGTCGTTACAATACCCAAGGTAATAACAGCATACCAGGCTCCATGATATCAGTTTTCAGGGTCAGAGTGGACCCTTCTAATGAAGATGCTGGCTAGTAGACTGCTGTGCCTAAAAGCCCATAAACTGCATCAAGAAGGATTTTGGAAGCAAAGCTGAAAATATATCCTTACTTTTGTATATGATTTAAAATGCCATATGCATTTTTAATGATTATCTGTCAAGAAAATGTCTTGGAGCCCTGGCTGCTGTGGCTCAGTGGATTGAGCAGGGGCTGTGAACCAACGGGTCACTAGTTCAATTCCCAGTCAGGGCACATGCCTGGGTTGTGGGCCAGGTCCCCAGTAGGGAGCATGTGAGAGGCAACCACACACTGATGTTTCTCTCCCTCTTTCTCCCTCCCTTCCCCTCACTCTAAAAATAAATAAACAAAATCTTTAAAAAACAGAGAAAGAAAAAGAAAATGTCTTAGAGAACAGCCATTAAAATACTCATAGAATAAAAAGATGGCGCTGGAGTTAAAATGAAAAGGTTAGGGTTTTTGTTGTTGTTTTCCTTTTTATTTTTTAGCCCGGAAAGAGGATGGTTCAGAGGAAAATAGAAAATAATTTCTGCATTGATTTTCTGTCCATTAGACAAATATTCAGCACATCCCTCTTCGGTCAGCCAGGTGCAGGGGTCGGAACCTAAGACAGGCCAACCTTGCCCTTGTGGGGTCATCGGGTGCTAATATAAATTTATGTACTGAATTCTGGAAAATTATCTCATGAAGCTTGGCAGGGCTACATTTGAAACAAATAGAAAAATCCATGCAAAAAACAGAAAAAGAAAAAAGAAAACCCCTGCGCAGTGCCCAGGACCAGAGAGGCACCCAGAGAGAGAGTAGGTGACTTTAAAAGTGTTGATATTCTTAACGTGATATTAAAATGTCTATAGGAAAAGTAAGCAAAGGACAGCCAGCAATTCAGAAAGGAGAGATACAAATGGCCAACTGAACTATATGCAAATTAAAATAGATGCAAAATTACATGCACATTAAAACAGAACAATGCAGAGTCTCTAGTAAACCTTTAGAGTTAGAAGAGACCAGTGAATGGAGACTGAGGTTAGAAATAGATTCCAATAAACCCGCACGAACTACGCGAAATGAGTGATTAGTGAGAACGGGGATATTGGAGGGAAAGAAAACCAATGCTTGAAAGTCGTTTATGGTCCGAAGGTCCCCATGTCTCAGCTCACTTAGTCCCACCTGGGCTTTCTGTTCCGGACCCCACTCCTCGGGACCCCCGTGGGGAGGCAGAGAAATGCCAAACTGAATGTTGGGCACAGGGCCCAGCTGGGCTTTCTTATGTAACAATTGCCTGAGCGAGTTAGTGTGAGAACTTGCGAAATGAAAGCGAAGAGCGGCCAAAACAAATACGTGGCCAGATTAAAGCCAACTTGGCCGACGCTCCGACATTTGCGTTTCATAAACAGAGAAAAGAGCCATTAAGTAGATGTGTTTTTGCCACAAATCATGTTGGTGATCGTCGTTTGCCCCTATCTCTGTGATGTCATTGTCACTATCAAAAGCTCCACATTCCACAAAGTCCACAGAGAGCACTGGAAATGATGAACCCAAACCAGCCAAGTCAGGGACCGGGGACCACGCGCTCTGGGTTTCTCCAGGGTGCGGTGCTGCGGCTCCCTTTCAGGGCCCTGCTTGGGTCTTTCTAGCAAACACCTTGAACTCTCTCCGGCCTGGAAGCCAGGTATGTCTGGATCAGGTGGGGTGTTTGTTCAGCGCCCTGTGCTGTTATTCCCAGCAGAAAGGGGGTGAGGACAGAACGCTCTGTCAAACAAACAATTGCCCAAGGTCTTGGGCAAGAGAAATTGGGACAGGAAGCCGACAGTGGACTCCTTGCCCGAGGTAACTGCCCGATAAGGTAAACACGCCGCGTACAATGAGTTCCTGTCCTCCCGTGATAAATATTTATATGCTGAGCCCTGTGTTTAAAAGCACTAAACCATTTCTCAGTCTGAACGCTGACCTTTGGATACAAAACACGGGGCTAATTTTGCAGGTGATGTAATTAATTTTTGTGGCTCAGAGCTGTACTAGGAACAAGAGAAATTGTTGTTTTGGGGATTGTTTAAAAAGTGATTCAGCAGGTGTGTGTAGCTTTCGGGTAAACCTGTCGGTTTACACTCTGCCACTTTCCTTAGCCACACGCGGAACGTGAGTCGCTCCAACGATCGGGGAAGATGGTGGCCTGGCAGTTTATCCTGAGCAAACTCAGGCCCTCCTGACGGTAGAAGAAGTGATGGATTCAGCTGTGGGGTTACGCACGGCCTTGCATTAATAAGGTACAGGGGACCTTATTCCTAGGTTATCGGGTTGGCACGGTACAAAATTCCTGTGACCCAGACCCACTGAACTTTCGTGTAAATAAAATGAGCAGGCGGACCGAGCCCTTACAGTGAGCTAAATGAACCCCACCCAAAACAAAAGTAAAAGGCAAACAACAAACAAGGACAGATAATGTGTCACAAAACAGTACCGCCTTCTTCCTAGGTGGTGGACCTGGGTCCTCCCTGTCACCTCCCCCTCTCACCCCCAGGGTTCAATGTATCTAAGACCTATTGTTTCACCCCTGAAATAGCCCAGACCCACATCCTGCCCTCGCAGCTTTTTGCCTGTTCTCTGCCTTCCTCGGCTGGTGCCTCTAGGCACCGGCTCACCCAGGCCAATGCCAGGTGTTGCCGCCAGCGGCGCTCCCAGGCTTCCACTTCTCACGGAATGGTGCCCCCTCCCGTTCCATGACCTTGACCCGGACTGCAGCCTGGACCCCTCCCGCCGTGACCCACCTGCACCTGGTTGTAGATGGTCCTTCCCGAACACTTTGGAGCCTTCCATCCACGTCACTGTGTCCACTGCTCCCCACTACTGCCCCCCAAAGTGTGCACTGAACTGCACACCTAAACACGGTTAAAATAGTCATTTCACTATTTTAAAACATAACTAATACATTTTAAATTCATGAATTAATTTTTAGAGCGAGGGAAAGAGAGGGAGAGAGAAGGAGAGAAACATGGATGTGCAAGAGAAATGCTGATCAGCTGCCTCGCTCTCATCAGTGCCCCAACTCGGGGACCAAACCTGCAACCCAGTCATGCACCCTGACCAGGAATCAAACTTGTGACCTTTCACTTTGAGAGATGACGCCCAGCCAACTGAGCCCCACTGGTCAGGGCAAAAATAACTAATATGTTTTTAAAAGGTAATAGTAGCTCCCACGACATGTTACTACTGTTCAGGAACTTCCATTCAGTGACCAGTCCTCAGAACACGGCAGGACGGGCAGGAGTCCTCCCATCCCCCCGGAGGAACACTCACTCAGGCTCACGGCCAAATCCTGGGGGGCTCCGGAGCCAGGTCCTTACAGAGGGTCCCGGCTGCACTTCCACCGCAGCTGCAGGCTGGGGGCGTTACAAAGAGAACATCCAGTTGGAAAAGCCTGAAGTATTTACCGTCCAGCTCCGAACTGGCTCCAGGCCCCCAGTGGGGACACGGTAGGCAGTCCAGAAATGCCTGGCGGTTGGATGACTGAGGGTCCCTGGCTACCCTACCTGCAAGATCTGGTGATGCATCGAGTCATCAGTGGCCCTTGATGTGTTAATCCCCCAGAGGCGTGAAGCTGATGACCTTGGACAAGACCTTTGACCTTTCTGAGCTTTGGTTTCTATTTCTATGAAATAAAAATTGAACCAGATGCTTCCTGGCCGGGAGAGGAGAGGTGTCTTCCTAACCCTAAAATTCCACAGCTACATCAGCATACCTGCTTGCAAAGGACTTCCCATTTCTGTTTCATCCTGTTCCCACCAGGGAGCTGGTGAAGGAGGGTCTGTTTGTACAGCGTTTAGAGAAAGAGATCTTCCAGCCCGACAAATAAAAGAATCTCACTTTCTCATTTTCAAGTGTTCTGCCTTCGGCACGTCTGTCTTCATTCTATAGCCTTTTATGTTTTGAACTGTAATCTGCAGCCCGGACCTGTTCCAAGAGGCCCCACGGCACTTTTCGAAGTGGGGCTGTTTGGATGAAAAGAGAGAAAAAAGAATACGGTAATAGCTTTAGGCTGTCATCAAAATAACTTGGAAACCCTACTCCAGGTGGAATTCTAAAGAGCGACCATACAAAGATTTCTCCCAGTGTTTCAGTCTAGACTCCTCTGAAATGTCTGAAAGTGTGTGCGTAATCATTAACTTTTATTGGGGACACACCAGGCTCGATCTCGGAAACAAGGCAATTACTCGCTAGCTCTTCATCGGCCCTCCGCCCGCCACCCCCCCCACCCGCTGGCAGCAGGATCTGCGTGGAGCAGCGCAGAGTTTGGACGGAGACTTTCCCGGGCCCTTTCCAGGCATTACACTCAGGGGAAGGCCATAAAACTGGCATCCGGCACCACACGCTCTCACCGCTGGACGCGAGCGCACTTGGCTGTGAAATTGTGTTCTCGGGCTCGGACTAGAACCAAACCACAGAGTCTCAATGTCCTGTTTGCGACCAGTGTTTTCATTGCTTTGATCTTTTTTTGGTGGCGATGCCAGTCACCAGCATCAGAACTGTATTTTCTCTACCCTCTGTCACAGCAGACGGCGTCCGTGCGCTTCAATGACCAGGGCTCACCACGTCTGCGTCCCCTCCGCCGGTCACCCCGGGGACTCTGGGATCCCTTTCCGCTCTCTGGCACCCAAGTCTGTGTAACTGCAGAGGTTGTCTCAGGTGGAGCAGAAGTGAAACACCAGCACCCGCTGTTGCCAATACAGACCGTCCCTGATTTTTCTAGAAAGTTAACCGAGCTTGGATGGCCATGTTGGCTATGATACTGGTTGGTGGTTCACAGAGAGAATGTTCACGGCTTGAACACAAGGTCATTGCATTCTTTTTTCTTTTTTGGGAAAAGGAAACTTTTTATCGTTAACAGCTTTACTGAGATATGTAACTCACATACCATAACATTCAGCCGTTTAAGGTGGACTATTCGATGGCTTTTAGTCTGTTCAGAGTCGTGCAGCCGTGGGCACCATCGATTCTAAAATATTTTCATTGTCCCAGAGAGAAACACACCCCTCTTAGCCTTCCCTCCCTCCTCCCTCCCCCCTCCCCCAGCCCCCGGGGCAACCCTGGTCTACTTTCTGTCCCGAGGGACCTGCCTGTTCGGGACATTCCATGTAAATGCAGTCACACGGGAGGCGGACTTTGTGTCTGGCTCCTCTCACTCAGCGCCAAGTTTTCGAGGGTGGTTCACACCGTAACAGGGATGAGCTTCCTTGCTTCTCCGGCCGAATGACAATCTGTGCTGTGGACAGACCACAGGTGGTTCGTCCATTCACTGACCGGTGGGTCATTGAATTTTGGAACTGGAAGGGACATGGCAGGTCCCCTAATGCCACCGTCAATTTTACAAAGAGAAGAGAGGCCCAGAGAAGGGAAGTGACCTGCCCACGGTGACATAGGGCTGGGAGCGCCCTAACACAAAAGTATAGTGAACAGTCAAAAAAATCTAATAACATCACACCCACCGCCCAGTTAAAGCCACCTTCCCGTATTAAAAATAAAATAGCAAAGATACTTTTGAGGGTCTCTGTGTACACCCCTCCCTGGTCCCTGGTCCTGGCCCCTCTCTCTCCAGAGAAAAATACTTTGCCAAATGTGTTCTTTCCATGTACAGACATGGAATTCTATCACTTATCACTACAAACACCCATATCTATATACAAGCATTATATCTTGTGCATGCATCCAAACTTTATACAAATAACATCAAACTGTATGTATGTATCATTCTGTGATTTGCTCTTTGCAATGTTATGCTTTTGAGATTTAGCCATGGTTGTCTATATCCACTGCTTTATAGTATCTTTTTAAAAAAAATCTTCACCCAAGGACATTTTTTCATTGCTTTTGGGGGGGGGGCAGATAGAGAACTCGAGGAATATTGATCTTAAAGAGAAACATCATTGGTTGCCTTCTTGTATGTGCCCCAACCAGGGAGGAAGATCAAACCCACAACCTGGGCACGTGTCAGGAAATCAGACCTGCGACCTTCCGGTCCTCGTGACAACACTGCAACGGACCGAGCCACACCGACCGGGGCTGTCATCCCTATTTTGAAAACATGCCAGCATTCACAGGTCTTTGTGCCCTCACTGACGTTTAGATCTGCAGTCAACAAACCTTTCCTACAGAGAGTCAGACGGCACGTATTCTAGGCTTTGCAGGTCAAACGTCCTCTGTCACTCAGCGACCGCCGCGGGGCTGCAGCCTCGGACGGTGTGACCACAAACAGGCGTGTCCCAGTAACAGTTCGCGGGGACGGGCAGACAATCTGGTTTCCTTGTTCTCGTTCACTGGTCTTTCGGGTGTCCCCTTGGGGACCCCCGTTCCCAGCCTTCACCGGGCTTCTCTCTCACTTAACAGCTTGTAGCAGCGCTTGGTAAATTCTCAATGTGCTTCACTGGGTGTTCACAGACATTGCTACTCAGCTTTCAGTCTGTTGCTTGCATCACCTCTGGTTTGGTTGTTAGAAGGACTGGAGTTTCTAAGTTTAATCGACTGTGAATTTGTTCACTTATAGTTTGTTCTTTCTGAGTCTTGGTGAAGAAATCCTCTCAATATCATTTTCTCCTGATTTTCCAAATGTTGCCAATTTTGCTTCTTACATTTAACTCACCTGGAATTTATGCATGAGTTTGCTATGAAGTAAAATCAGTTTATTCTTTTCTATAAGCACCATCAGTTGCTCAGCCCTAATTATTGACTAGTCCGTCCTTGTGTTGCCGATCTACCGGAGGGGAGAAAGCACGTCTTTCTCCTTGTACCCTCTGGGTTCTCCACTGGGGCTCTGCAATGGCAGCTCGACAGGCAGAGATGCATTAGAACATGGATGCAAGTTTTACGTGACATGGAGCCTCCCTTAAGACAGGAGGACCCAGAGAAACAGTCACACCTCAGTGTTTCGTCTGAGGCCATAGGAAACACGGAAAGACAAAGGGGTGTGAGCTCAGGGTGGTAAACTGGGAGAGACAGCAGGGCCCAGCATTCTGCCTCCCCGGCCTCCCCGGCCCCCCAGCCTCCGTCGAGGAGGCTGCTCCTTTCCTCCAGGGACCCGGATGCACCTCTCACAGGAAGGTTTTACGACCTGCTTCAGGGGGAGGTCAGAATCCTTCCTGCACTGGCCATTTTTCAAATGGCTTCAGTTTAAAATGTTCACTGAGCCAGGGCGCCGTGTCCTGGGGAAGCACATCCCGAACGCCGTCCCCATGGCACCACCAGTACCACGTAAATATCATCTTACAGCTGCGGGTTTACTGTCGGGCCCTACTCCTGAAGCCTGTCTGTTTCTGGGCCGGCTCCAGACGTACCAGTCCCCGCAAATCCCTAACAAGCCCTGCTGTTTGGAAGGGCCACGGCCCTCCCCCTGCTTTCCAGCTCGCCTTACTTCTTCAGAATGGTCTTAACTACTTTTGGTTGTTTGCTCTTCTGTATACACTGCAGGGTAAGCTTGTCAATTCCTCAAAATTCCTTATGGGACTTCCGATTGGCTCTACACTAAATTTAGGTATTCATTCTGGAGCGCATTAGCATCTTTATGAGATGCTGACCATTTCCATAAAGATGGTATACAGCCTTCCCTCTCTTGTTTCAATACACACACTTTAAATAATTTTTTAAACTGTAGTTTATGTTATAAATTATATGTTTTATAATTTTCTCTATAAATGTCTTACGCATCTTCTGTTACATTTATTCCTTAGTTATATAAATTCTCTTGCTCATGTAAGTGGTAGTTTTAAAATTATAGTACTTCTGGTGTATAGAAATACCCTTGAGTTTTATATATTTATCTGAAATCCAGCAACTATGATAAACTCTTGGTTCCAAAAAGTTTATTAGTTCTAAAATTCCCTTGGGTTTTTATGTGGATGTCCCTAATATCTGTGACCTATGACAGTTCTGTGTTTTTCTTCCACCTGGCACCTTCTACTAATGTTTTCTGTTCTTAATGCCTAAGCGAGGACCTGACTCTGTCACCCGCTTGGACACAAGGGGTGATGGAGGACACCGCTGCTTCCTGCCTGCCATCGAAGGACTGTTTCTCATTTAACCTCTAAGTGTGGTATTTGCTGGGGGTTTTCAGCAGATGCCCCTGCCCTCCCACTGTGAAAAATCCTGTTTCTAGTGAGCTGCAAGTCTTTACCCTGAAATAGTTTTTATTAATTAACGTTTTATTATGGAAGTAAGATACGCTCAGAGAAGCAGCAATGAATCAAGTAGAACGACCTTTCCCAGCCCCAGCCCTTCTCCTCAAAGTCACTGGTAGGTATCTTGTCTTTCCTTCCAAAAACTTTCAGTGCATGTAACAAGCACATATTTTTATGCCCGTTTTTTTCCCCCCACACAGAGATCATACTGTACATACCATTCTATAGTCTGGTCTTTTCTAGTAAAATCTCTTGGATGTCATCCTGTATCGGTCCACATTGGTCCACTCCATTCTTTTCCGTGGCTGCATAGTATTCCACTACATGGATGCCCACGATTGGTCTAATCAATTCCCTATTAAGAAACATTAAGGATGTTTCCTTATTTGTCTATTAATCTGTGTGTTGGCTATCGCACATGATGCCTCAGTGAGCACCCTCCGACTTACATCTTGGTACATTTCTACAGGCACATTTGTAGGACAGATAGGAAAGCGCCCCATTTTACACTCCATTGCCAACTCCTCAAACCCCTTTTCCTGAACGCCCTGCTCTTCGCTGGAGGAGACCCAGGAAGACTGTACTTGCTCCAGCCAAGGCCCTCTGAGACCCATGGGGACCCTCTGCATCTCCCTCTCTCCCTGGCAAGGAGAGAGGCCGGGGGTGGAGAGCAGACAGCCCATCTTCGGGCATGTGTCCTGTGGACCTGCTGGTCCCTCTCAGCCTGGCTTAGTCTCTGCAGACTTTGGACCGAATCATACGCCTTCACCCTGGTCTTGGACTTGGCTCTGACATCTGCTGGCTCTTCCTTAGGCCAAAGAACTCCTAGCTTCCCATCTGTGTCTCCTGCATCTGTGGTATTTATTTTCTTCTTCTTATACTAACTGGCCTCCCCCTACCCCTTCCTGGACCGGCCTGATCGAGGTCCCCTGCCTTTGTCAGGGGTCAGAATACACAGCCCCAAAATACGCCACTTGGTCTAAGAATTGTTTTGGACTGAAGGCAGATGAGAAAAGGCAGACACAGGATGCGCTGTCTGCCCTCCTCTTATCTGCCTGGCAGCGGTGAGCAAACTCTCTGTTGAAGCTGTGCCCACTCCCCCTACTAGGACGGCAACCCGTCACCAGGGATGATGGTGCCGAGGGGAGTCTGCAGGAACAAACTCCCACCTGACCCTACGCAGCCCTTCTCTGCCGCTGGCCCCCCCCCCATATCCGTAACTTCCCACGATTTTCTGCCTCTCGAAGCCCCTTTCCTTTCTCTGGGCATGTCCCCACCATATATTGCTTTTTGTTATAAGGCTATAGAAGCCCCCAATTTAAAAAGGGGTTTCACTTCTTTTCTGTGAAGCTCCCACGCACAAAAATAAAAATAAAACCTCTGTGCCTTTTCTCCTGTTAATCTGCCTCTAGTCAGTCCAATTTAAATTTGCAATTAGACGTCACTTCCTTTTTTAACCTTTTATGGCTTCTCAACCCCTTAGAAAATACCCAGCACCACACGGCATCCTGCTTCCAACCCGCCCTGCACGGTGGGGACCTTCCAGTTGTCCTTTCTCAGCGCCAGCTCTTTCTCACCTGATGGCTTTGAACTTGGGAGGCTCACTTTACCCTCAACCCCTCACCACCCGGTGAGAAGTAGGCGTTATTCTTTATCATCACACCTCAAACCTCCTTTTTCTTCTTTTACCAGGAATTTGTCCTGCCTAACTGATTTGCCTTGAAAAAATTACCTGTCCCCATGTGTCCACCAACCTGCTCCACTTTCCGAGGGGGCGGAGGAGGGGTGTGGCGGAAGCTTGGCCCATCAAACCGCCCGCTCTGGGATCTGACCCTTGGCCCCTGCGGCCTGGCATCAGCGTTTACAACAACAAAACAGCCGGAGCAGATGTGTTTCCAAGACGGTGCCCTGAAGAGAACACGGCCCTCTGGTGGCCTGTCCTTCCCTGCCCACCCACCCTCCTCCCCTTGCTCCTGCCCCGCACCCGCCCTTCACCGGCCCTGCGAGGGCAGCTTTACCTTCTGTTTTATGAGCTTCCTGTGTCCTTCCCGCAGCCTCCCTTTCTTACCAACTTCGCTGGCTGGGGCTCTGCTCTTTGTGTGCAAAGAGCCCCAGCTGACTCTCTCCACCCTCCCTGGCAGTGCCCCACTCACCTGGTGCCCAGCTGAGTGGGCACACACTACCCCTCTAGGTACACAGTCCAGCACAAATAACGCCCCTCTTTGATGAGCTGCTGATCTATGGCAAATCTTTTATCACAAAATCATAAGCATCAATTCTGTAATATAACAATATCACACTCAAGCACACCACAGGGAATTTTAGGAATGCACATTGCTGTCCCTCTTGAGTGAGACATTCACGTCCCCTACCGAGCTCTCAATGGCATTACTTCTGCTGGATGGACCCTGGGCATTTGACGAGTAACGAAGGCTCTTCGTCGGGGTCAAGGGCATCCTGAAAGGACTAGGAGTGAGGAGTCGGGAGCAGGGTGCAAACAGGAGTAATGGCGTCCTCTACCTTTGTTTTGTTTCCGCTGCTTCCTTTGGCATGGACACGCGTCTCCCGGGGGGTGTCCTGGAGACAGGAGCACAGCACCTGTACCACGATCACACAGGACCGCACGGCGCGACCACCCCACCGTCGCAGGTTAGACCGCTGGTGAGTGGGTGCAGGGTTTGTCTCTTTGCAGGAACGGGGAGGGCGTGCTTGATGAGGGAGAGGAACAGTGAGGCATCCACTCAACTTCTGAGTAATTTTCTCAATGCTGGCGACCCTAGGTTTCGCCTCTTGCTGTGACCCCGGTGCTTCCTCTTTTCAACACAGACCTTCTGCTTTCCTCCGGTGAAAATGGGTGGGGGGGTCGCCGACTTGCCCCTTCTGGATGGGAAATAGACACGCACATCCACGGGGCACCAAGCCTCCTTGAGGGCGGGCAGCTCCGTCCTGGCCTTCGCCAACCCCAGCGCCCAGCCCCGCGTGGGAGTAAATACCTGTCGAGTGACTGGATTCGATGACTTCTATTTTTACAAAAAGGCTAACTTTGAAATAAAGTAAATTCTTTTCTTTTGTTGTCACAGACATAAAATCTTGGGGCTGCAACATGCCCTCCGAATGCCCATCAGAAGCTGAATTTTCTCCAGCATCTGGCCGTCTGCACAGCTCTGGGTTGGGCCCACTTTCCTACATCAAGCCAAAGACCACGTTGCAAGTGTAGACAAAACGAATCCCACTCTCAGGCATAGTTAGAAGCATTCTACCCTTTTCTCTGGGACAACCACTGCCACCATGGCTGCACCCTGGTCTCATCTTTGAAATCTCACCCCCACCAACTCTCCTTGTTTCAACTCCCACTCTGGCCCTCTCACCGAAGACCCCTCCGCCTATTTTCCTAAAAAGTGGGGGACCCAGGGCTCCACACTCAGAAGGTCTCAGGGAGCAGCTAGACCCTCCCCCAGCCCCTCCCGGGGTTTGGAGGACTCGGACTCTGTGCCTGCTGGATGGCGGGGCTGGCTCCACTCAGAGAGGGGGGCTGCAGCCCGGACCCTCCCTGCCGCTTCATCCCCAGTCCCTGGCACCTCGCAGGGTCCCTGCCGAGCACAGGTGCTCCAGACCTTGGCTGAATGAATGAATGAATGAATGAGTGAATGATTTCTGGGAACTCTTCATCCTCTTTGAGAAGCCAAAACTGGCCTTGAGCTAGTTGTCTTCTCTCTGGACCCAGGAACCAGCCTGCGCTGGCCTCTCCGAGGGGGTGCACGCTGTTTCCCTCCCTGGGAACTGTCGTCTTGGTGTCCCGGATGGAACTGGAACCCCCAGGCGGACTTGGTCCTCCTTGGCTGCATCTGCTGAGGCGGCTGCTTCGGAGCTGGGCGTGGCACCCACAGGCAGGGACACTGATCACAGCGGCCGCAGCGAGGAGGAGGAGGAGGAGGAGGAGGAGGAGGGCAATGGCAGAGGTGAATGTGGGGATGAAGGCGAGGGGTAGGACTCTCTCTGGCTACCGCTGAGCTAAAGTGCATTTACTTGCCCGGCTTTGCCATGCCCCCACCCCTACGCTGAGGAAGCTGTAAGCCTCTTCCTTGTCACCCTGCCGCAGCTGCTCCCCTGAGGATCAGGAGTAAAGGCTCGGCTCCATCCGCAGGGGATGACCAGTTGGCACAGCCAGGAGAGCAGCCAGGCAGGGCATCGTTCGGGGTTTGGGGAGAAACTCACCCAAGGGAGAAAAGCATCCGCGCGCCTTTCCTTTGCAGCTCGTACATCCCTGCAGTAGCATCTCTCGTCTGTTCACTTCCAGACTCAGGAAATGGGTATTTCTGTGTGGTGCCGGGTGGGGGGGGATACAAATATTTACTTATCACATAATAAAATCGTAGAGGTCAGATTAAATCCTAAGACTGCTCATCTTAATGAATCTAGTTGGATAATACTGTAGAAAGGAAAAAAACTTTCCTCCTTTTTCTCGGGTTCTGCCCTTGGGGTCTATGAATTCGACGAACAAAAGACGGGTAGATGAACAGAAGAACAGGCATACACATTTTATTTTAATTTTAACACATGAAGAAGCCTTTAAAGAAAAAAAAAGATCCAAAGAAACAGTTAAACTTGGGGGAAGGGCTTATATACCAATTTGACAAAGGACCATAAGGTTTTGAGAAGTGACGAGATGAAGGAAATGAGGTTTGGGCTTCTGCAGGCAGCCGGTTGCAGGAAGGCGAATATATTGAAGAAACCAACAGAAGACGGGGCCATTTATACGGTTTGGCTTATGGGGACTCACCGTGGCTCCATCCCCTGCGATGAAGACTGACCTCTTTCAGGCATGCGGCCAGGACACCTTCCTAAGGGAGACACGTGACCAACTTTCAGGCAAAGGGCTACAGGCACCTTCCTTGTGTCTGGGTTTTCTCACTGGCCTTCAGCCCAAAGCTGTTCTTACATCCAAGTGGCGTGTTTTGGGGTGACTTTGATCCCCCTTCCATGTTCTAAAAGAAACTGAGTTACAGTACCCACAAAAACTGTACAGAAACCCCACGTAGAGGAAAACGGGACCTTGCCCTCTGGAGACACCCGCTCCTTTATTGGGGGAACAGCGAAGAATCCTTTAAATCAGCACTGAATTACGGATGTAGAAATGAGGGCTTCTAAAACCTTGACAAACACGTTTTACATAAATTAAATGTTTTCCCTTTGATCTTTCTTTCTCAGCAAAACTCCTTTTACAACGTGTGCGTAAATCACTACAGACTTCAAACTAGTGGTTCATTATTTATTAGCACATTCTTCCTCATTTGAGAGGAAGAATATCTTATTTCTAGCTTTCCTAAAAAGCACAGTGTAAGAACACCCAGGAATGGATGGGGGGACAGAGTTCCCTGACCTTCCAGGACCTTCGGCCCACGTCCCCTCTGCCCCACCAGTCAGCTCAGCCGGCTGGTCAGTCTCGGAACGCGGCCCAAGGGCCCAGGATCTCGCCAGCGAATTTCGGCCCCGGTGCCCAGGCCGACTGACTTGCCTGTTTTGAACTGCGCACAATATAGAAAACAGAGGAGTGTTGCTCTGGGCAGAATGGCTGATCCCCACCCGACCACCTTCTGCACAGAGTTCAGTTACATTTTGCTTTTGCAAAATGACATTTTAAGCATAAAATGCCCATCTCCTGACGTACAATGGTAAGAAAGTGGAATTAATTAGGCCTCAATGACAGAAGACCCTATAAATTCGAGAGTTATACCTACTGTAATGTTAGAAGCACTTTTTTGCTCTTAGGAGCTCTGTGGTTTTCATAACTAGTCTATAAATAACTTTAGTAAAGCACAGAGGAATGAAATAAAAAGAAAGCACTCTTTTAAATAACCCGAAGTTCAAATCCAGCTCTAGAAGGAGTGTTTGTCTGCTCTCTTTAGGATGGTCAGGATCTCAGAGCATGACCAGGTAGGTGCTCACACTGACAGGGAGATTCCAGTAGGCAGCTGGGGTGCAGATTAAGAAGAGGAGATTCAACACCTGATGCTAGAGATGGGCCAGCCTGCTCAGTCTCCGGGTAGGGGCTGTGAAGCCCCACAAGCATGGGGACATTAAAAGGGTCCAGAATAAGGCTGACCGTAGGGGAGCTCCCCTGAGCAACACCTCCCCCGCCCCCGCCCAGGAGACCAATTTCAGCAGTAAGTCTTTCTGCCTCAACGCTCCCTTTTAAGGGTTCTCCTGCCCTTAGCACATCCATCCAGCAGGGTGCCCCCCAGCTGCTCATTGGAGAGCAGCAACCCCTCCCCCCAACCACCAGGAGCTGCAGGTTTTCTGCCTCAGACTGCAGGTCTGTCTGCAATGCCTCCGCTCCCACCCACGGACTCATTTGTTAAAAACAGTAAAAGCAAAATTGAGCAAAAAGGCATTACATGCTGATGGCTTTTCTTTTAAACCAACTGCTGGGCAAATGGGGTTTTACGGACTAGAGCCTGATGGGGTGATTTCAGTCAAATCCACGCTGTTTGAGAATAAATGCATAATAAACATATAATGACTTCAAATGGCCCTGACTCATGAGAGATAATGGACCATCCAGCCGCTCTGGGCGAAAGTGAAAGACCAGCGTGGGGTTGATTCCTCGCTGCGCTGAGCTGGAGGCGGGGAAACCAAAGATCACCCTGCAAGGCTCGGCCAGGCCCCAACAAGCCAGTCACTAGGTAAGGGCATCGAACACTCAAGTCCAAAGGCACAGTTTTGCCAGAAAGCGTCTTCCAGGCCTGGAAGTACACACCCTCCCTGGGCAACCCCCGGGAAATTTCTGTAAGTCACCGTGATTAACATGCGTGAGGGGGCGGCATGCGCCCACTCAGAAATCCCCTGTATTTGACACCCCTTGTCTCTTCCACTTTTTGCAAGTGGCTCCTTCCTTAGGGGTGGGCACGGGCCACCCTATATCGGGGTGCAGGGGAGGCAGCGGCTCCGCCCGCCCACCCCACCCACCCCACCTTACTTGGGGCAATGTGGTGCCATGAAGGAAACTCTGTCACTGTGAAGTGGGGCTCCAGGTCCCCCGCAAGTGAACCGGGAGGAGAGGAGACAAGTGTCAGAGGATGTGTGTGTCTGAGTTGCAGGATGAATCAAAGGCTAAGTCACCTTCCTCCAAAGTGTGATGTTGCTGTGACCTCACAGGGGAGCCACCTAAGGGGGAGGAGGAGGATCTGATTTTGCACCTGGGGTGGGGGGAGGGTTTGTGGAAGTTAAAGTGTCTGGCGGGGAGGATGGGTGGCCCATGCGGCTGTTTGCCTTCGAGTGGTGGGTTGGGTGGGTGCCTCTGGCTTCCCAGCTGTGGACTTGGCCGGTCTCTGTCCTGGGGCTCCCCTGGGCCACAGGCTGCTGGAGTCACCCCAACACTGTGCCGGGCTTCTGGTCTGAGAGCCAAGACTCGCCCCACTCTGCCACTGCTAGGACCAGCCCTTGGTGAAGCTCAAGTTCAGGAGCGCAGTGAAAACAAGCCCGGGCTCCCAACACGTGGGTGGATTTCTTCCAGGCACAAGGGCGAAGAGAGGAAGGCACCACGGCACCAGCGCTCACTCGAAAAATCCTGCATGCGGAAAAATCTCTCGGATCGCTGTGATCACCGATCAGGCTCCCGAGGCGAGGACGGCCCCTGCGGAGCCCACTTCCTGTGGCCACAGCACCTCCAGCCCCAGCGCAGAGCCCCCACCGCTCCTGACTCACCACGCGCCTTAAAGGGGCCACGCTTCCGGGGGTCACCCTGTGTGGCCGTTGTCAACCGGCTAGGGGCCCCAACCCTATTCCATCCCGAGGCTGATCCCTGGGCTCCCTCCTGCATTTTCACTCCGGTCTGGCAGCCCTCCCTCCGCCTCCTCCGCCTCCCCTCCAGGAGCTGTTTCAGCCCTAAAATAGTCTCCGGCACCCACTCCTCCCCTTCTTAAGAAAATCTCACCCCTCCAAGCCCACGCCCTCCCTTCCCTTCCCGCAAACCCCTCGAGCTCAGTTTGTAGTTTGCACGGGCTCACCCACCACTGTCTGGCTTGCATCCTGCGCCAGCCTCCAAAGCAGCCTTTTTAAACAGGACTTTTATGTCGTCTCACACTTCAAGGAGGTGCCGCAAGACTATGACGAGGAACTCCTCAAGGCCCAGAGTCACGGGTTGTGAACATTTTGCCACGTTTGCTTTATCA